TTGGATTATGCAATGCACAGTGTGGGTGGAGGCCAGACTCACTCTGTTTCTTCTTGAGCCACAGCCGTTCTGTCGGCATGACAGAGGCCGAGTATATCAAAGTGGAAGGAGAAACAAGAATCTTCTTCCTTCCTTTTGTATGCGACAAAACCGACTTCATGCATTAGTGAAGAATGAGACAGTGCCTAAAATTAAATGCATCTTGACATTCAGGTTACTCTTCTGACAATAAGCTGGTTGAAGAGTTACTGTATTTGTCACATTTTGTCTAAAAGCTTCTGTAAAATTTTCTCAAGCCATTCGTTATTTAGATAATTCAGAGTGCATGCTTCCGAAGTCACTCTAAAAATAGAACACATCTCCTGTCTGGTCAGTACTGGTGCCTGAGCATGGGCCGCGTGCTCTGGAAGGAAGCTGCACATGAGGAAGTTGTGTTTAATGGTTTAATGGGAAATAGAAGGTTATTTTTCTGGCTTAGTGTTAGAGTTGTGTTTACTTCAATTTGTAATATACAAAGATCTAATCATACTGTATTTTTACCTTAAATTCTTTTTTCTGAGCTTATGTTCTAGTTCCTCTATATTTCTCTGCCATTTGTCTTGAGAAATTCTAGTATAATTTTCTTGGAAGTCACTACTTAATGATTTCTAAGATGAAATCCCAGGCACGTGGTAGTACTGGATGGTTTTTGTTTGCTGTAGTTGCATGGCTTTTAAACTTTTGATGGTGGCACACAAACAGAAATTAATTTTAGATCACAGCTTAGTGCACACGTTCGTGTATGTATGTAACTGAAACAAGTTTCTTGAAACAGTACTTATATTTCATGTGAGGCACTAATATTTTCTATTTTATTGTATTTAGTTTTGTAAAAATACTTCTTGAGGACTACTAGTGGGATTGCAACTCACAGTTTGAAAAACACCACCTTACTATGTAGCCTCCATTGTTACGTGTGGGTCATTTTACCTTCCAAGATATTCCTTTCCTAACGAGCCTTTGTGACCCTAGCTTTACCTGTGAGCACCCCTTGCTTGCTTTTCTCCCCACACAGTCTGCTCTCCCTTTCAGCTTCGAAGTAAAATGCACAATGTCCCAGCCTTGTTCTTACCATGGCCTCTGTGGTCATCTGTGTGTAGTAAGGTTCAGGTCCCATCCTTGGAGTACAGGTCTAACCTAAAGATCAAAAGTTTGTGTGGTTTCCTGAATGGATGTGAGAAATTGAGTCTCATTTATTTTGTGAGGACAGCAAAGCCTGGTGTCCTCTTCAGTGCTTGGCAGCTCTGGCCCAGCGTGTACACAGGGAGCTTTGGGAAATGCCCAGGGGCCGTAATAGGATTTCACTGGAGCTGTTGTTATAGTCCACGCAGGCTTTGGGTTCCAGTGGCATTCACACATGGTGGCACATATCTCTCCACAACCATGGCGCACACTTGTCCCCTTCCTTATTTAAAAGGGAATCATTATTTTAAAGGAGAGAGGGGCGATCCTGGCGATCCTGGATGTAGTTAATCACTGTTGAGAGAGTAAGCTCTGAGAGAAGACAGTGTTTGGTATATTTCTTTCTCTTTTCCAATAATGGAATATAGATTTGTGTTTCACATTATAAGACATTTCAGGGGCTTTGTTTGACATTGTCATTATGTTGGAAAAATATTTGAGGGCTTGTCAGAAGGGAACGTTTATAATTGTGTTACTAACCTGCACATTTTCAGCCTTTAGAATAGTGCAACAGGTAATTGAGATTGAAATTGACAGCATTTACAACTTAAAAATAAGCACAAGAAATGCCAGTATTCACTGTGTGACTCAGAATTAATTTGGTTTTTCTAGGCTCTTATAGTTAACATGATGCTTGATGGAAATAATTTTGTAATGGAAATTATTAAAAATAGATTTGATTAATGTATTTTTATAATGTTGGTATAAAATGTTATCCTGTGGCAGTCACAACCTAAGGATGTTGTGATGGCCTTAAATGTTTTTCCGGGGCCCACAGGTGAGGATCTTACCATACCAGCACACCCTCCCTCACTTTGTCACCATCAAACCTGGGTGCCCTTGAGACATTCCTGCTTCTCATCTTGGCATAAAGGCCACTGGTAGACTCTCTGATCCTCTATTGGATCTCTTCTGTGGTATTGAAGACATGTTTTAAAATTGGTGTAGTGTCATTAACCTAAATATTTTACAGTGCCTGAAATTTCTATAGTTTAGGCAACAGTGGATTGTTTTGAAACCTAGATCTCACCCACGTGTTCTGTTGACTGGTGAAACATTCATGTAAGCCAGTTCCTTTTGACCATGCGCTGTTCTAACTTGATCCCTATTTTATTGAAAAAAATAATTTTATTCTATCGCCCTTGACGTAGATCAGAAAATAAGAGCCTTGTGTTTACTTTAATGGTGAGGTTGCTTCATTTCGGCTGTTTTAGAAATTGTTTTTTAAATGTAATGAGAAAACTTGACAAGGTAGAAGTAAAGCTGCCTAGCTTCCCAGTGAGTGCCTCGGGGAATTCAGTAAACTGTTTCATTTGAGGGAAGGAACAGAGTCAGAACAGGAGGTAGTGTGAAAGATAACATATCAAACGGGCATTTTATCAGAACCACCCCCCCCAAGTTGCATAAAACTGTATTATCAGAATCCCTTCTCATCCACACCGTTTCGAGCCAGCATCCCAATGAGAAGCCCAGAGCTGAACACACAGCTGTGCTTTCCTGCCGTTATTGAGATGAGGGACAGAGTATTAGTTAAGAACTAGACTCTGGAACCCACCTGCCCACGATAGGAACTCTGGGCAGGTCCCACACCTCCCTGGTGCCTAGGCTCCCCGTCTGTAAAATGGGTGTGGTAATAGTGCCTGCCTCCTACGGTTGCTGTGAGGATTAGATGTAGCCTTGGCACAGTCCCTTCTTCGCTACTGTGGCCCTAAGAGGCAGGTGCCTGTCTTTTGGTGTCTTTGGGCAAAGCTGAACCCATTTGATCAGTTTAGAAATCTAACATCTCCCTAGCAAAACAAGATGGGCATGGAGATGTTTTGTGAATTTTTGTTACAATGCACTTAGGTTAATGATTGATGAGTAACCTTTCAAAGATACCTGGTTATGAACAGAACTTCGAGTAAGATTGTCCTCTCCTTCTCATGGTTGCACCCTGTGTCCTTTTTCTTCCCAGCACTGGCATCGGTAGCAGGAAGGGAAAGGAGACAAGTGGCAATACCAGACTGTTCACGTTAGGTAGACACACAATTTATGGTTAATAGTCAACATACTTCTGTTTTTTTGATTGTCGAGTTTTAACTAACATTTTTACTAGCTTTATCTAAATCAGCCAAATTGAGAACTGGAATGCTCCCTAAATCCTTGGACAGCAAAGATGTCTGCCTTTTCCGGGCTTTCTGCTGACTGCTGCTTTTGTTAAGATGCGCAGCCTTTATTGGCACCGTCCAGCCTTGTGCTAGATGAGGGACCTCCATGGTGGGTTGTAGCAGATAGAACTGAGAAAACAGAAGAAAGGAGAATCTCATCACAAGGACTGGGGCTGGTCTCGTGCTTCATGCACACCTGACCCAGTGATAACTTTGATTTGTCATTATCTTTCATGCATCATTTAGAGGAGACAGAGCTTTCTAGTTAATCAGATTTTTTAAATTGCCTAAAAGGAAATCCTAAGCGTGGAGCAAATCATTTCAATAAATCTTGTTCATGTTTTTTAAATGTAAGAAGAGAAGTTTTTCGAGTACCTTTGAACAGTAGTTTCTGTAAGTTGGAAAAGTTCATGATAAACTGGCAACGAGTGGAAATAAGAGCCCAGGATTCGGAGTTAGGCTGTCTGAATTCTCTTTGGGGCTTTTCCTCAAGCCAGCTGTGGGTCGGGTCTGATTACATCTAAAGAACTTTCCAGCTTTTAGACATTTTGAATATGGTAGAATATGCGTGTTTTTATGTGAGGGCAACAGAACTCGTCGTCTTCCTATTTGCACCTCAGGTCATCTAAATGGCAGAGGCTGTGACACAGACACTGTAACAGCAGGACATAGTGTAGACATGACCTATCAGACGCCCTGTGGTCTAGGCCAGTGGCCCCTGAACCCATTATGACTACCCAGGCGACTCCCAGAGTCTGAAAGGGAACTTGTGAGCTTCTCCAAATGAATTTCAACTACGTCTCTTTATTTATTTATTTGTTTGTTTATTTTTCTGTCTCAGGGCCAATTTCCCCCAAATCCCTTTTTCTCCCCCAGCTTTATTGAGATATAATGGACATATAACATTGTGTAAGTTAAAGGTGTATAATGTGTTGATTTGATACACCTATATATTGCAAAGTGATGACCACCATAGTTGTTAGCTAACAGAATTTCAGGATAGGTCTCTTTAAGTCAGAAAGATATATGCTGTGTGGTAGATGGAGAGAGGAAGAAGCACGTGTGTCCAAAAATTAACCGGTAACTAACCCATGAACTTGGATTCTGAAGCAGTGTACTTACTAGGCTGAAAGTTCGAGGCCATTTTTTTGTGATAAGTAATTTATAAGATTTATTAATAACTAGACTCGATGCTCTTTCCCTAAACTCTCAGTTCTCAGGGAGCTCTTGAGTTTATAGCACTTGATCAATATTGGTTGAAATGTTCCCAGCACCTCTTTCCTGTCTTCTCTTTACACTGGGCTAGCTGTGCCCCCAAACCCTCTGTGGTCCCACGTGTCCCTCCCCTTACCGATCACAGGCCTCCCAGGTCCAAGATAGGATCTGTTTTCATTCTGTTGGGTAGAGACGCCCAACAGAGTCTCAGGCAGCTAAGGATCCAGGTGTATGAGACCTTGGGCTCACCCATCTCCGAGGTGACAGCTGTCTGTGCCTTCTGCCTTTGACCTGTCCTCACCTCACCTCTGTGTCAGGCCCCAGCCTTTGTCTCTATTTGTAAAGAAACATTTTTAAGAATACTGACACTCAGTTAATAGATGGAAACATATTAACTCTCTGCTCTCTTCTCAACAGACGCGAGACGACTTCCTGGGCCAGGTGGACGTGCCGCTTAGTCATCTCCCGGTAAGGACAGTTACTTGCTTTATTTGCATGCTGTGAGCAATGGTTTCTGATTGTTTGCATTTATGTGTATTTTCAGAGTGATATTTTCTCAATACAATGGAGAAGGGTAAAATAAAGAAAGTATACTCTGGCCCTGTTCCCTTCTAGAAAGTCGTCCTTTCAAGGGGATAGGAAGGAGATAACTTAATTGTAAAAATCAGGTGTACCTGAATCATACAGGTATGCCAGTCAGCATCGCCAGCTCCTTTCTCTTCTGCTCTTCCGCTAGTCTTTTGTCACTAGTCTTCCTTTGTCACATCATACAAAACAGCTACCTTTCTTCTGTCTAACCTCTCCTTCTTGTCAATGGAATGTCTTTGCTTTCAGATTCATCCTTTGGGTGTAGACAAACATTTATTTCCTTTGTCTAGAGTTGCACATGCTTTTTCTCTTGGGCTACCTCTATCCAAGCTGGTATTTCCCAGAGTTGGGTGTATGGCTTTCTCAGCACAGAGACAGAAGATGCTGTTGGTTCTGAGTGAACTTGTCAGCTGGAAACACCCACGCTGGCTTCCAAAATTGTACTGAGCTAGCATGTTTGGTGTTGCTACTTTCTCTGTGCTCAGATGAGTAGCAGAACAACTGAGGCTGCTGACTGGTAACTGAGGTTAGAAGTGTCACCTGCATGCTCCAGAAAGCAATATAGATAGAATGTGGGGACAGGACCTGGAGGCCTAGGTGTAAAGTAGATCATCTCGTATTCCAGCTTGGGTTTTCCAGATTCTTCCATCCCTCCTCCTGGCCCTTCTTCCCCCGGGCAGCACAAAGTGGCTTAAGTAGCACTTAAGAGAGGATAAGTCAAATGTTTCTGCCTTCCAAAGTCATTTTGTTATATATTTTATTAAGACTTTGTGTGAGCAAATATCATAAATTGTCTGTAAACTAAAATGACTTAAACCACCTAGTAAGCCTACCACTGCATTGAAATTGTGGCTGTTACCATATGTTCAATACCAAGAAAGACTGCGTCTTACCCAGGAAACTTTGAAGATACGTTGTGAAGGAATGTGATAGCAAACGATTTATTCTTATTTACTCAGGGGAGCGCTTAGAGAAGAAAGCTTTCAAGTGCATTCTCTTCCAAAAGATTGGAAGCAAAAATGATATCATTAAAGTATTTTGGTTTGTTTCTGTATAAAAACCTGAAGCTGTAGGTGCTTGCAGAGGGTGCATGCGTGTGCATAAGACTGGTTCCATAAGCCATCAGAAACCTGATTATTCTCTTAAAGGCACATTGAGAGGATGTGGGTATCGCAACATTCGCGAGGAAAAACTCCTCACATATTTCTGCATCAGTAGGTCTTCTGTTTATGCTCTTCAGGTTGAAGCTGTAGTGTCCTCATGCTTTTAGACAATGTTGGTTGGTTGGCCAAGTCTTCAGTGGGTGACCCCAACCACCCTTCTCCCTAACATAAAAACCACGTTTCAGTCAAGGCAAATTATAAACTAATATTCTCTAAGACGTGTAAGTGAAATCTTTAAACACCTTGGTCCAGCCATCCCTTGTTTGAGTGATTGAGTGCAGTTTGATTTTGAAAGATTGGGTGGGACTCCCAGAAAACAGAAGAATGTTCCTCTTAGAGACCAAGTCAGTAGAGGAAATAGTTCAGCTTTGGATTTGGATGGAGGCAAGAGTGAGCTTTTAAAGAAGAAAGTGGTGCCAGGGCTCAGGGCTAGAATAGAAATGAGCCAATTAAAGAGAGTAGAACATGAATGCCTAGAGAGGACTGAGTACTTTTACATGAGCTGAGCCAGTTGAGTAATGGAGCTTCCCAATTTTGCATCTGCCCGAAGGTTAGTTTACATTGGAGTGCCACTATCTCCATACTTAAAATTGACTAGCTTTGTGGAGCCAACTACAGCCTGGGAGATGGACCACAAAGGAAGCAAAAGGAGAATGGGGAAGGTACATCCTTTATCCTCTGAGTGGTGGTGCAGCCCACCTAGCGCATGTTCTGAATGGACATGGCCTTTGGGCCCAGCATTTGAGGTGCTTTCGTGTGTACAGTCACACATCACTTAACGATGGAGATACATTCTGAGAAATGCATCATTTGGTGATTTCATCATTGTGTAAACATCACAGAGTGTGCTTACACAAACCTATGTATAGCCTACTACACACCTAGGCCATATGGTACTAATCTTATGGGACCACCATCATGTATGTGGTCCATCATTGACCTAAACGTCAATCATTATGCGGTGCATGACTGTCTATTTTATCATATGTTTAGGACACTCATGGGAAAATCGCACATTGTCATATTTTGTGTGATAACACAAGTGTGGGTGTGTAAAATGGATGTTAGCATTTGAATATACGTTTTGGAGTAAATAATAGACGCTCTTTTCTTGATAACTACATGACCGTTGTCAAAACAACTTATTATATATGGCCTATGGATTCAATATTTGTCAAAATCAAATTTTAGATAAATTAGGAAGATTGTTTTATTTGTAATGAGAGAACATAATGGAAAGCAGTAATGTGGTAGTAAAGTTGCCATTGCCAACCTACCCAAGGCTTTTCAAGGTTTAAGGAATCTGACTGGCTATTTGATTATTAATTAATTTTATACAGCCCCATTCACTGATAGAGAATTTATTCCTTCAGTAGATATTTGCTGATAGGAATGATTCTAATACCTGAGGAAAAATCAGTGAAGCAAGTTCCTCCCTCATGTAGCTTAGCAGTGCCACCCGTTACGGTGGCCACATGTGGTAGTTGAGCATTTGAAATGTGGCTAATGTGACTGAGGAACTGAATTGATAATTTTATTTTATTTTAATTAATTAAAATTTAAATTTAAAAAGCAACATGTGGCAAATGGTACCATATTGGATGGTGCATGTGAGGATCAGACCTGAGTTTCCTGGCTTGGATAAAAAAATGTATGATTCTGGGTTCCCTTTTCCTCAGATAATTCTTGGCCATTAGAGGGGACTGTGGGTGGAGGGATTCCCAAACCCAGCAGTTTTACTTGCTGATTCTTCATTCAGCTTTTTTCCCCTACTTGAGACTATTTCTCTCTAGTTCTGCATGTCTAATATACCAAGAATATTTAAGTAATAAGAAAAGGCTCAGAAATTTGGAATCACAGAAATTAAGATAGAAGTTATTTTTTATTAGTATTTTTTAAATCTCTGTTAGCAAAATTCCTAATTGCTGTGCCTCTGTGTTGACATATATGTGCACTTAAATTATAAGACATTTTAAGCAAGGAATGAGGCTTTATCTTGTTGCCCCAAGGTACCGTGAACCTTTATTTCTTTAAAAAAAAAATCATCTCTGCCTTGATGCTAGTCTAAGAAGTTGCCAACATTTGCGTGAAGTTCTTTTCTATATCTGGAGCTTGATGGAGAAGATTCAAGACAGCAGAACTAAACTTAGTGTAATCTGTCATGATTGTTAGGAAATTATTTTTAATAATTTAAATAGCCTATTTTGTGTTGTTTGCCTGTGTGTTTTTGAAAAAGAAGTATTTTGGACCTAGTAATTGATGTTTGCTGAAGAACCTTCTTCCCTTGCTGAAATTCTAGAGGCCTGTTGGTGCAGTTGCCAGTGGATATTGGTGTTCGCAATGTAAAACCTTGCTTTTAAATTCTTAGGAATGGCTCTCCTAAGCTGCCCTTATTTGCAGCTATAAATTCCCTGACCCCAAGAAGCCTACCAGGAGGACTAGAAGGTCTGAGTGACCCTACCTCTCAGTGGGCTGGTTTAGGAGTGGACCCTTCCATGGACGCACACTGCAAAGTTACAGTCTCTTTGGCATCTCAGACCTGGCGCACACGGTCCTCCTCGGCCCACTGCCCAATATTGGGTCCCTGGATTAATTACGTGCCCTGCTGGGCCTTGCATGCGAGTCCAGGTGGGAGCTCTGCCCGGGAGACAAGCGAAGGAGGCCGCTGGGAACAGAGAGGCAGGCGGGGAGGGTGGTGTGAAGCCGGGGCGCACTCTGCGTGTTAGAGTCACTGCCTCGATCATCGACCCCAGTGGCCGGAGAAGGCCAGTGTCAGCTCCGTCATTGTCCCCTAAACAGGAAAGAGTGATAATGAGACAGAAAACACACTTCTTTTTCCCCCTTGGGGGGAATTCGTGGATTCCTCAGTGCTTTATATTTATCAAATGCTTCCAGATGAAAGACAATAAGCTTAGAATGTGATTCGCTTTCATTCTTGGCCCTCAGACTCAATTCTCCTAGTTTTATTTGTGGGGAAAAAAAGGATAGAAAATAAGACCCAAGGAGTCTGGAATGGTAGGGACCTCTGTTGCCTTTGCTTCTGTTCCAAATTTGCCACTCAGCTGAATATTTCTTTTCCATTTTATTTATTTTTGAGGGTGGGCGTGAGTAAAAAAGAGGGAATAGGGGAGAGTAAATGAGGTTAGTAGCCTGACCCTTTATGCAGGTCCAAGAATTAAGAAAACATGAATTCATATTTACGGAAGTCTCCAAAGGTCAGGCTTTAAAAGATCTCTCGGGATTTGTTGGCTCCGATCTGGGAGATGAGCGAGTCGCCTTGGTAACCTTAATAAGTTAGTAATCCCCTCTGAGCCTGTGTTTTCTCACCTATAAAATGAGGGCATTCGCATAGACGATACCAAGTTTCCATCCAGCTCTGTGAATCACATCTTAGCTGTTCCGTGGCGTTCCCTGAGCAGAGGCACCGCCGACCATGGTGACATGCATGTTACCTGGGAGATGTGGGCAGCGTGACACACTGGAGGCATGTGGAAGAGACGAGACTGTCATTTAGGAAGGTGGTGGTTGGCCTGCCAGCCTGACATCTGCACTATAGTTGAAACAGCTCCTTTTTTCTTCTTTTGTGTCAGGGCACTAAGAGTAAACTTAGCTGTACCTGTACTATAATTGTTGGTTTTTTTAAAAAACTCCTTTTTACATCTGTTTGTTAAATTCAGTGCATCATTGCCTGAAAGTTCATGCAATGCTTTGTGACTTGTCTTGGCTAATTAATTAGGGACTAAAATAACTACAAGACTTGTATTAACAACAGGATGATATTTCTGGCAGGTGTTTGCCTATTACGCCTCTTCCTTTGTCAGGTGCATCTCCCCTGCCCTTTGAGCCCCCAGCTCACCCACCCCTGCCCAGCTACAAAATCTCTGCATCCATGGGAATGCACTGGGGTAGAGAGAGCTATTTTAAAAACATGAATTTCTCCTGTGTTAGTCAAGTGCTACTCAAGGCAACCATGGGTAACTTTAGAATCTGTTTTCCTAGAGGGAGGCATTTCCAGGCTGGTGGTATTGTTTGGTGCCTTAACTGTACTTGAGGGTAACTCAGATGATGCGCACACCTTTTATATTTACGACTGATAGCAGGGTAATCGTTCCCTCTCACAGGTACAGAATTCAGTATCATAGAGCTTAGAGGGACTTCAGAGCCCCTTTATCCACTCCCTGTATTTTACAGGTGAGGACACCTGGGCCCAGAGAGAGAGGTGACTTGCCCAGTGTTCAGCTGATTGGTGCCAGGGCTGGACCAGACCCTGGGTCTCCATCAGTGATGTGTGATGTAGTCAAGGGCCTGGGGCAGGTGGGCTTAGCCTAAGGCTTGGGTGCTTTTGAGGGTTGCATGCAGCTTTTGAGTCTAGTGTCCTGGTAGGGCCATTCCCTTCCATTTGCCTACAAAACTGTTTAGCTCACTGTATGTCACAGTGACTGCAGTTCTGAAAGCAATTAAACTTTTTAAGATGGAAGCGCTGTGTATCCAAAAGATTTTCTTTTGAATGCTCATGCCCTGGGTCAGGAGACAGCAGCATCCATTTTGGCCAATAATACTGTTAGCATCAATCTGTTTGAGATGGCTTTCTACCAGGAACATGGGCAGTGCTGTCCTGGCAATTTCCACTGGACTTTTCTTCAGAGAATATGATCAAATTGGAACCTGGATAACGCCAAGAGAATCCTATAGTTATCTACAAAATCACCATCTTGTTTGGGCTAGAGAATTTTCATGGAGGTGAATTTTCATTTTGTAATGTCCTACGTAGTACTGAGTTGGCAATACTCACAAGTGACGTGAAAATGTAGAGTTGGCTGATGGTGATGATGGTCATTGTTAAGTGTCCCCAGCACCCTTGTGAGGACTTTGTGTATACCAGCTGAAGTGATTGGTTCAGTCCTCACAATCCTGTGCGTAACATGCTGTTACTGCTCCGCTTTGTAGATGAGGACATGAGGCACAGAGAGGTCAGGAACTTGCCCTTGGCCACTGGGCTCTGTAAGTAACAAAGTCAGGACAGACCTTGGAGCTCTGCCTCTTGATCTGTGTGGTGTCTGTCATTTAAACTGTGTAGCATATGGACAGTTTCGTTTTCAGAGTCGCTGTCAGCTCCACTTTTCTCTGTTCACGCTCTCGTGTGCTCTCTACTGCTCCCCAATTCCTCATGCCTGCTAATGATCCTGTAGCTTTACTCAAGCTGTTGATTTCCTTAGCTTGAACTACCCTTCCTCCCAATTCTCCACCTATCAAATCTTTCCCATTCTTCTCGGATCTGACCACACATCTGAAAACTGTTTTCTTCCTGAAGTCAAAATCAGTCTGTTCCCTCCACCCCAAGTCTCACAGAACGTATCCTCCACATGTCGGTGAATTTGTTCTGCCTTAGATTCTAGTTATTTGTTGATATGATGGCCCCTCCTACATGGTTGTAACCCTAAGGAAAGGTACCATGTTGTATCCACATGTATTTCACATGAGTATTGTTCTAAAATTTTGTGTTGGTTAAATAAATGAAAAAAGGAAGAAATACCGCAATAGTATTCTTGATTAATAAATTTTCCATTATAAGTGATGTATATTTGGAAACTTTTTTTTTTAGAAAATATTTCCAAAATGTCTGAGTTTACTTTACTGCCTTAGTGAGAACAGTCTAGAGAATATGCAGGCATACCTCTGAGATATTGCAGAGATAAAGTGAATATTGCAGTGAAGCAAGTCACATGACTTTTTTGGTTTCCCGGTGCATATAAAAGTTATGTTTGCACTCTACTGTAGTCTATTAAGTATGCAGTAGCATTATGTCTGAAGAAATGACGTACATACCTTAATTTAAAAATACTTCATTGCTAAAAAAATGCTAACCATCATCTGAGCTGTCAGCAAGTTGTAATCTTTTAGCTGGTGGAGGATCTTGTAAAAAACTTAGTACTTGTGAAGTACAATAAAATGAGGTATGCCTGTAATTGACTTTCTTCAGTGATGGTGAGTTTTCATGGCCTTGGTAGTTTTCTGTAGATCAGATGAATTAATCAGCTACTTGTACAAGTGCCTACTTTGTGTCAGACAATGTTCTTGGCACCAAGGATACAATGGTGAGCAAATCCAAGTCTCTGATCTCATGAGCTTACGTTGAAGAAGTGATGGATGATACACTAGTAAATAAATAAATGAACAAGATAATTTCAGACAGTGGAAAGGGGGAAGATATAACAGGATGCTGTGATAGAGGGTGATAAGGGGAGGTTAATGGTGGTGCTTAAGATGCGATCTCTTGGGCCAGCCCTGTGGCTTAGCGGTTAAGTGTGCGCGCTCCGCTGCTGGCAGCCCGGGTTCTGATCCCAGGCGCGCACCGACGCACCGCTTCTCCGGCCATGCTGAGGCCGTGTCCCACGTACAGCAACTAGAAGGATGTGCAGCTATGACGTACAACTGTCTACTGGGGCTTTGGGGGAAAAAATAAAAAAATAAAAAATAAAAAAATAAGATGCAATCTCTGAGGAGGCATCCTGGGATCTCAGACCTGGATGGCAATGTGGAGGCAGCCATGGCCATCTGGAGAAGGACCAGCTAGGGCAGGGTTAGATGTGATGTGCGCACAGGACAGATGAGGACAGGACAGTTAGAGTAAGGGGTGGATGGAGAGACTGGTTCACAGTGAGGTTAAAGGTAATTAAGCCAGATCGTGTTTGACTTTGTAAGCCATGGAAAAGAATTTTCAGTTTATTATAAGCAGAGTAGGAAGCCTTTTGGGAGTTTAAATCAAGGAATGACATAAACAGATAACTTCAAATATAAATGCATGCACACATACCCATCTGATATAATAAATCATGGTACTGTGCTTTGTCTCTCTTGCTACAAAAGTAAATATTTTAAATTGTGTTTGAGTCTAGTTATTTGAGGTTTTACCAAATATAGTATTTAAAAATTAATGAAATAGTAACATTTATTTTTCCAATTTCCTGCTTGCTCTGACCAACTGATTTTGCACAATAAAATGAATACTGATTTCTTTTAAAATCTATCACAATTACATCCTTAGCTTCATGAAATAAACACCAGCAAAAGGCAGCTTGATGGTGCTACGTAGGACAGTCTCTGAAGGAGATGATCTTTCATTTATCTTAGGCCAACATGATATTTTAATGTTAAAAATAAAGTAAAATTGCCTTCACAGATTCCATCGTGAATCTTTTCCTGTTAGCTCCACTTTTAGGTTTCTTGAATCATAGGAGAAGGCGGCACCAGTGACCGCTGGTTTTCCAGCGTTAATCAGCAGTGTGAGATTGAGGCCTGCACCCTGCAGTTGGAAATTACACTTGGCAATGACGACTATAATTTTGTCATTGTCTGAGGCTGGGGTTGGTTCCTGAAAACGGACGTTGATAGTGACATCTAGTGGATCTTGAGTAGGTAAAGTTGTGTGACCTATAAAATGTTTAATTTTCAAGTACTGGTTGTGGAACCAACTCCGTTTTCACCGTTCCCACATTCTTAAACATGAAAATGTATTCTTTGTAATCCAGTCTGGTGTATCTATAATATGAAAGTATCCAGAGTATTGAAACTTAATTAATTCTTCTTCCTGTAGACAGAAGATCCAACCATGGAGCGACCCTATACATTTAAGGATTTTCTCCTCAGACCGAGAAGGTAAGGCTTTGGGGGACAGGTGTCCTTTTAGGCTTTGGCTGTTGGTTTTCTCTGAGAAAGATTTCCACTTTTGTCCTGTTTCATCTTTTTAAAAAGTCATCATAACTTATATGGTGACTGATAAACAATAATGTACAACAAAAATTTCACAATAAAAAAAATGAAAAAAAAAGTCATCATAAATAATGCAAGATATAACCAAGTCATATCCTTTATAACCAATTTTCTTACATTATGCAGTCATAAATCTCGAGTTAAGGGATTTTTGCGATTGAAAATGGCCTATATGCCAAAAAATGGAGGTCAAGATGAAGAAAACAGCGAGCAGAGGGATGATATGGAGGTAAGCTGCAGAGCCTCAGGCCTTGGTCTGTTTCCCTTGCCTGAGATCATATTAATATTTTACTTTAAGACTTTATAATTTAAGAAAATAAAAGTTTATAAAGCTTAAATATGAAAAAAGTTACGTGTGTCCATGAATCTGTCTTTGATAATTTACCCATGTTTGTTTTAGTAAAAAAGATGGACTTTTCATTTTATGTTACAACACTGACAATTGAAGAAAATTCTCTTTATAAAATGCTATTCCCACATTTTATTGATAGCACCACCCCTGTGTGAAATTCTCCTCACATATTTAATTCTCTTATTTGTTTGGACTTGCAGCTCTTTGTAAATTCCTTTTAGCACTTGAAATTGCTTGAAAGTGGATAAAATGATTTAGAAAATCTTTTTGAAGTTTCTTGCCCATTTGCCATAGGTGATAGCATGTATGAGGAAGCTCTCCTCTAGAAATGCCGTTTTGAAATTAGCTGTCCAGAGGAATCTTCTTTTCTTCCCTCCTGGCATGGCTGCCGTTTAACTTTCTAGTCACATACCTATGGTGTGGGTCCTATTGTACCTTCTCAGCACACACTTCAGACAGTGCTGTTTTGTTAGACAAATTCTCCTATTGTTCTGAAAATGTCCATTAAACAAAGCCTCTTTATGGCTTATTTGCACATCTGTTTGCAGCTGTTGCATATACGTGATATGTGAATAATGTGTTACAGGCAAGTTAACCAAACCCCCCTCAGACCAAGAGGTCCTATTTCCAGGCAGTATTTCATTTGTGAGCTTTCATCTCTCTCTATATATGAGGAGGAGTCAAGTGGGTGGTAGGCAGTTATGAATATTAAGATTTTATAAGCACATCGCCAGATTTTTATCTCAAATCCCAGGAATTTTTTTACACTCTTCTGGTCTTCCAACTGCAGTAACCAGTGAATTACTGAATTTTCCAGTGACTTTACTAGGGGATGTTAGGAAGGAATACTTAATGCCTAAAATATGTGTTGGAAAAATGTAACTCTGACTCTGGTACCATGAAGCCTGTTTATGTGGCGGCAGCAAGTGGGGAGTGCTTAAGTGGAAAGCAGCTTCCAGACTTTTTTGGCTCCCATGATTGTACCAGATGCAAAATGTGAGCTTTCCCTCCAAAGCCAGCCTTGGTACCATTGTCCCTGGGGAGCTATAAAGCCCTGGGCCTCCTGGTCACCCATGCCGGGATTTCTGTTAGAACACATGTCCAGTACAGCCCATCTTCCCAGCTCCCCTTACCTTATGGAGGTGTGGAAAAGACAGCAGCTGTAACATGACCCATGTCATGGGCTTGGTTTTGTACAGCCCTGGAGGCCTTCAGTTCAAAATAATGAACATGAAATATGAAAAGAGTATAATGTGACTTAAGTAACATATAACACACTGTACATATCCAAATCTGTGTTGGCCCCTAAAATGTAGTCGTCTTAGAAGGCAGCACAATTAATTGGCCATTGCTCAAAATATTTTTGAGACTCTTCTAGAATTGGTTTTTTGCTCTTTTTTGGGAATTCTTCAAATGTGGTACACGAGGCCACTGCAAGAGCCAGAGTGCAAAGGAGCAAGGAAGAAGGACACGGACCACACTGTGCTTGTCTTTTCCTCACATCTCAAGAGCCAGCCTCATCTCTCCCGTTTGATTTCGTTCCACAGCATGGTTGGGAAGTTGTCGACTCGAATGACTCGGCTTCTCAGCACCAGGAGGAGCTTCCTCCCCCTCCTCTGCCCCCCGGGTGGGAAGAAAAAGTGGACAATTTAGGCCGAACTTATTATGTCAACCACAACAACCGGACCACTCAGTGGCACCGACCAAGCTTGATGTGAGTACTGTGTGATGATTGGAACACATCCTTATACTCCGCAGTTTAGGTCTGAACATGGCAGCTCTTGGGCAAGGTTGGGAAATACATCTTATATCAATAAAAGCATATGGTTGTGTAGTACAACAGGATTCTTCCTCCTCTAGTTAAAGAGCGTGGGAGCCCATCAGAGTGCGTGTATTATAAAGGAGCTCTTGCATTTGTATCACATTCTACTATGGTAAATATGAACTAATTTATTTTGTATGTCTTCTTGATATATTCGTGAAATAGAAAGCAGAGGTTATTTTTTATAGATTTATCTTATGTGTGGTGATTATAATACTTCCCCTTTTCCTCATCTTCCTCTCGTAACTAACCTGGAAAGGAAAACAGCAAACAAATTGGCTGTGCAATTTTCTCTTTTCTCTAAGTTTCTGGATTTTTTGTTCTCTTTAAATACTTGATTTGGAAATTCTCTCAAGAACGTCTTTTTCCTTTTTTGGGAAATTTATATATCACCCCTTGATATAATTAGAAACACACGAGAGGGTTGCAAACTCAGTAATTACTGTTTATTCTAATTCCACACCGGCCTCAGGGCTGCAGTGAATTGATGACTGTTTTGTTCACTCGGCAATTTTTGGTTTGATGATAGCAAATAAACACTTATTAAACCTCAACCACTATAAAAAATGATTCAAAGCAGCTTGTTTTTAAATCACAGTATTTTAAATCATAGTATACAGCAAGACCTAAAACTATTAATATACAATAAAAGGCAAAAACAAAGTATTAAAAGAAGGAAAAGGAGGGTCCAGCCCAGTGGTGTAGTGGTTAAGTTCGCGCACTCCCATTCGGCAGCCCAGGGTTCACGGGTTCGGATCCTGGGCGTGGACCTACGCACCACTTATCAAGCCATGCTGTGGCAGGCGTCCCACACATAAAAGGGAGGAAGACGGGCATGGATGTTAGCTCAAGGCTAATCTTCCTCACAAAAAAAATAGGAAAAGGAAAAATTATTCTAGAAATCATGAGCTCCCTAGCAGCCAAGACGAGGTAATTATCAATGAATTATGTAATTTTCAGTATGTAATAAAAGCAAATATATTAGATGAGATAATTTTCTCTTTAATCCAGACCCTGAAAGAAATTTGCTAATGATGGTTTTTAAATGAGTGTTATTAGCAATGTGGTGGATGGTGTTATCAATAACCCTTTTTATCTTTAAGAAATTGCAAAGATATTCTGCATATGACTGTGAGTGGGGAAAGTGGTCTAGGTCTAGGTTTTGTTTGATTTAGAGAAAGCTTGCAGAATCTGCAATATTGAATAGCCAGTTCTTCCTAAGCCCCCAAGTGGGTTCTCGTGAATATCTGCTGTCCTTGGTCCGCTTTGGACTGCCCAGCATGGACAGCTCATTGTTCCCAGGACAGCATAAATACCTGAACATACTGATGATGTTGTTGTAATTTTTTTCCCATGGAAATAGAAATGGAAATGGCTTAGTTGATTCTTTTAATTAATTAATTTTTACTGTTTCCCTTTCATTAATGACCATAGCTATTAAAACTATTGTAAGCCATTTAACTACTCTAGTTATTTGTAGTAAAAAAAGAAAAAAATATGGACCCACCTTGAACTTGGTTACATGTAGTGATCAGTAGACTATTGGTAGCAATACCCCAAACAAAGCACTATCATCTACCTTTGCTAAACATCATAAGAAAGGAGTACCTGATAACATGGCACTCTGTGGGGACCGGAGTGTCACGTGCCCTCTGTAGAAACGTGACCACTAGCAGCCCACAAAGAAATACTAATGGCCAATACATATATGGAAAAATGTTCACCTTTGTTAATAATTTTCGTGCAGATTGAAATCTATATTTGGAGGATAAATGGAGATAATTGCTACTTTCTCTACCTCACAGAGTTGTGAAACTAATGAGGGAATTCCTGAGAAAACACTTCATACGTTTTTTTAAACATACCACCTTTGGTGGCAATGTCCCAAAGAAGTAACCAAAAGCAAAAGATATAACTTGTGCATTGCTGGCTCATCAGTGGTCCAGAAGCAACATGGGAAAAATGCAGTTTTTAATTCAAGTTCACATGCAGTTTAGGGAGAAATCAATGGCATGACTGGTCCCATGAGTGAGGTGGCTAAGGCAAGGAGAGGCTGAGCCAGGAAAGATGTCAGCAGAGCTCTGGTTGGAACTGAAGGAGTGCCTCCTTTCCAACAGGTGTGACTTCTAGAAAGCAAGAGAAAAGTTAAATAAGGAAAAAGAGCTCATTTCCCCAATAACCTTTTCATCCCATCTGAACTGTTTGAGAATTGGGGGTTCTTTCTCCTGAAGTTTATTTGGCTGGGCAGAAGCCCTCAAGCCTTCTAGAACTATTTTAAAGAATTGTTTTAATTCAAAAATAATTTTTTTCATAATTCAGTTTTCACAGAATACTGCAACACTCTTTGGAGGAAAATTGATATTAAGAAATGTCTTGATTACGAAATGTCTTGATTAAAGGCTGTATCTGAGGAAATCAGGTAGTGAAGTGATTACCATGTGCTAAGCAAAGAATTATGACTCTCCTGGTGACTCTCATTTCTTACCCAACTTACTATAGACTTGTGCCCCAAACTTCAACCCCCTGAAGAATCTTCATTGACATCGCATTGCCCCTAGGCTGTTCATACGAGCTCATTCTCCACCTTGTCCACCTTGTCTCTCTCGCTGGCCTTGCCCCCCAGTCATAAATATACAGTGTGATCGGTGACCTGATTGTGTACAGCTGCTTTCTGATTACTTTATCTCCTTCCTTATTAGTCCCCTCCCCCGCCCCCAAGCAAAACTAGAATGTGCCCCTTCCCTTGGCTGCCTTCAGATCTCAGCCTAGTAGACCTTCCTCTAGGGAACCCCACCTTCTGTCCAGGTCTCCCTGAAAGCCTTATCTTCCCTTATCATGGCGCAGAGCACATACTATTCTAATTGCCTGTTTGAGCAGGAACTGTGTTTTCTTTTTTTTATTTTTGGTGATGAAGATTGTCCCTGAACTAATATCCGTGCCTGTCTTCCTCCATTTTTGTCTGTGGGACACCACCACAGCATGGCTTGATGAGCACTGTGTAGGTCCGCGCCCAGGATCCGAACCTGTGAACCCCGGGCCACCAAAGCAGAGTGTGCCAACTTAACCACTACACCACTGGGCCGGCCCAGGAACTGTGTTTTGTTATTCATAGATCTACCCCTAGCACATGGCACAGGGTAGGAGCTCAGCAAAATACCTTTTAACTGAATGAATGATTACAAATGAATCACTTCTAAAAGTGATTATGGGCACATGGTTTAGTGGACTGTCTAGGCCAGACCTAGGCCTGGACGCAGAGCTTTAGAACTTGTGGAAGTCACCATAGAAGATGCCCCAGCCCTCTCAAGTCTGAAGGTAGCTTTTAAAATACCCTAATTTTAGGTTTATCCTTATCCTATTTTAATGTAAACTGTATAGTTTCCACTGTAAAAACCACAATTTTAAAAACATGGTGAGGGAATTGTATTAAGACTGTAAATGAAGACGAACTTGTTAAACTCACTTATTTTTCCCCTTTTTATTACCTCTTTCTAACACTTGGTACATCTTCTCCTATCTTAGCAATAATTTAATCATACCTGGATAGCTCAGGTCATCATTATAGTCACTAATGTCTGTGAATATAAATGATCTGACACACTGAGCTTAATTGGCGCTGAACTTGATGAATTTCTGGTTTTGCTTCTCTTTATTCATTTGTATATTTCCCATGAAAGTCAAATGAAATATATATATTGTGTGTGAAATTGACTGAAGAAAATTGAAATAGCCATTTCTCAAATTTTTCCTTGCCCACAATAAAATCATTTTTCTGTTTTAATTTGTCAGCTCAAATATTTTCAAATGTTAATCTTCCAAATGGTCCATCAGTGACCATTTAAACTTCCAGTCATTTTCAACAGCACTCCCATTCAATTGCTTAATTAAATGCGAAAGGCCTCCCTTGTGTGCACATTTTCATTTTATCACTAAAGACCATAAAAGCCCATGGTTGGAACTTCAAAATCAGAGATATCTTTCTTCTTTATGCCATTTAGTTGTTTCTGGTTCACACCGTTTACTAATTATTTGAGCATGTTGGATAAGGGAGATTGGCATAATTGATTTTTAATGCCTCCTTTTTTTAAATCAGTCCTTCCAGAATGATGGAATTTTATATACTTCTGAGAGATACAAGATACAGACATAGTAATATTAAAACCAGTTCTCAACCTCTCTGAAGCGCCTGTAACCATTCAAGCATGTGTAGGGCCTGGCACATAGTCAGCCTGCAAACAGTCACTCAGTATTGACTGAAACAATGACGACTGATGTTTCAAGTGAAGATTTAAAATTTTGATGAAGCTCTTAGATATAAAATATTTTTAAGTAAGGCCAGTCATTATAAGGTGAAATTGCTTTCATCTTTAATAAAAAGGGAAAGAAGATAGATGAAAGCTTCCTTTGCCTTCTTAGACACTACTGAAATATTTTACATATTTCATAAAAGTATTCTGATCATTTTCCTTGTAAGTTTTTTTCTGTTCTGTAATAACTTATAATTACTTTTTTATAATCAATGTGTGCTTTGAGTGTCATAAAGAATTGAGTGTCATATAAAAATGACTGCAGCAACATACAATCGGAAAGACAATATTACATTTTCTAACATATCCAACAGAGTGCCATTTTTTTATTCTGTTTTGGTGGTTTCAGAAATTTTATTAGTATACTTGTTTGTTCCTTGATTTTAATGATTTTCTCTTTGGCCATAATACGTCAGTTTTTCTGAAGGTACCTCTATTTAAGGTACTATTTTTAGCCTAGTTATAGTTTAATATAACTATAAAATATGCAGAATATGTATTTCTGGTAGAGTTCAAAAGTTTGTATATTGGGTATATAGTTACAATAAAACGTCATTAATACAGATTTTAATAATAAGGAATTATCATTTTAATGTGGATTAAGTGGAAACTAACCTTCATACTACCCCCTTTACCAGAAAAGTTAATAACGTAAAGATTTTTGGTGGAAATACTTCAACTGTCTCGGAAACTGGCATTAAAGAGTCGCCTATTTATTTGCAAACAGTGCTGCTAATTGGAAACTATTTGCTATTACAGGGGCCTAACAGGCTGTTAATTGGGATATGGTATAAGTTAGTTTGAGACTGTATTAGAAGGTTTCAAAACCTATGTTTCAGGAATAATCTATAATCAGGGCCCTTGTTTAATACTGTATTTCAATTAGTCTGAAGTAATGTTTTCAAATATTTTGAAATATTAACTTGCATCATTTTTGTTAACAGAATATGATGTCTTATTGAAAGAGTCTGTAAGAGTTTTCTCTGAAAAACATTTTGACATTTACACTTCTACTCTGAAAGCCTCTGAGTAGTATTTCTCCCAAAGGATGATTGCCTGTAATTTACTGCAAAAGTTTTCAAGATTGAATCAATGCTTTCAGATCCTGAATTAAGAGAGTTATATGACAAAAAAAGAGAGTATGAAGTTGCAGTCTTCTTCAAATCCCAGTTGATTTGGAAGATTATTTGTCAAACACACAAATATCACACCTGATATTTGTATGAATTTTTTTAAGTAGTTTAATGGGGAGAAATACAGTGTCATGATTCTGAGATTCTGTCAAAATGAGATCCACGACAGGTGAAAAAATTCATGTTGGGTCACAAGCACATCCCTCCAGGTCCCGGCTTTGAGTTTGTACTATTTGTGCTTATAGGGGAGGAAGAACTGTTCCTCTATCCTCTAGGTTCTTCTGGCTGGTCTAAGAAGTAAATTGACGTGAGACAGAATAACAAGAGAACAGCAAACAAAGTTGAATAATGTGTATACATGGGAGAAACCCAGGAAAACTGAGTAACTCACCAAAATGGCCAAACCGCTACCTTAAATACCATCTTCAGCTAATGACAAAGGAGGACGTTGGGGGTAGTGGTTTGGGACTTCAAAGGGGAGGAAGTAAGTTCACATGGAGATGGAGAAGCAAATGTCTGGTGAACAAATGTTTGCTGGGCCTCCTATAAACAAGGGGACCCAAGAGAGAACTTTGATAAAATGGCCCTTGCTAGGTGCCTTCCTGTCTACCACATTTAGAGTTTTCTGTGGTGATAGCTCCTTCCTGGGACAGGCCTTCTATCTGAAATTCTTTTAGGCAGTTAAGGGGGAAAGTCAAAGTTTCTTTCTGAGTTTTTGTTCTTAATAATAATGAAGCCAGGGCCAGCCCAGTGGCATAGTGGTTAAATTCGTGTGGTCCACTTCAGCGGCCCAGGGTTCACAGGTTCAGATCCCCGGTGCGGACCTACACACTGCTCATCAAGCCATGCTGTGGCAGGTGTCCCACATATAAAGTAGAGGAAGATGGGCATGGATGTTAGCAGAGGGCCAATCTTCCTCAGCAAAAAGAGGAGAATTGGCAACAGATGTTAGCTCAGAGCTAATCTTCCTCACCCCCCCCCCAAAAAAAATCAAGCCAAAGAGACACATTTTTGGGGTGACACATTCTGATATCCCACATGCTCTTTGGTCGGTTGTTAATGCCCAAAAGCTGCTGACTTGTCGTTGCTAGACTCCTAGATGGGTCCCCACTGACTGGCTGGGACTGTGAGCTTACACATCACCTCTTCTTCAAGAGGCCTGAATTGTCACTGGAGCAAATGGATGGAGGACTTTGACTACTTCTTTCCCAAATAGTAAAGTACATGTTGCAGTATATACCTGAAAGATGTTCAAAATATTGTGACTGATGCATTTAAAAACTATTTATTTGATTGAAATGAACCTAGAACTATACTTGAGCCAAGATATGGTGGAAGAATTCTCATATTTAACGGCCAGCTAATTGTCAGTGTTTAATGTACGAGCGCTGACGTTTGAGTAGGTGTAAGGCTCTTGGTGAGCGTTGGGCTGTTGTTGAAGCACCCGTGATCAACATGGGTTCTCCTGTTTCGCATCCCCCTCTCTCTCAGGGATGTGTCCTCCGAGTCCGACAGTAACATCAGGCAGATCAACCAGGAGGCAGCGCACCGGCGCTTCCGCTCACGTAGACACATCAGTGAGGACCTGGAGCCAGAGCCCACCGAGGGCGGAGATGGCCCTGAGGTACGGTGTTCCCGCACTGCCTCCAAACTCTCTGCAGCTCATCCTTTCCATGTTCTCCAGGTTGACTCTATGTCATAATGTCTTTTCTTGGTAAATGCTGTCTAAAAAGTAAAGATCATGGTCTCATAGCTAATTGATGACCATCATGATATTAATTAATTTAGAAAGTGTTTATAAATGGCATGTTTAATGAATGCATGTATCCACATCATTACAAAAGAGAATGACATTTTTAGTATGGAAATTTTTAAATATTTTCACTTTATAATTTATTTTTCCCCAGAGTCTAACCATATCTTATTAAATGGCAACATGGTTATCATATTTGAGCAATTGAATGAGCCTCATAACTTATTTGGGTACCAAATACAAGTTTTTACTGAGTAGTTTTGACATCATGAAAGAGATTTGTTACCAAGACAATACAAATGTTAATGGTAAATTACTGGGGAAAAAACGAAGGATTGAACAGCAGATTAGCAATTACCATAGCTCCCATGCTGCCTTAACAAATCTGTTTACTTACTAGAAATCCATTATTTTTAGACATTGTGTTAGGAAGATCATTCACAAAATGTTCCAGTGATCAAAATTGGAAAAGCGAAATTAATGATTCCATATTAAATTCACTAAAAGTTACTTTATACCAGTGTTTAATTACAGCTTGTAGCATCTCAGCTGTTTTCATTATGAGTCCTCAGCAGTTAAAGAAAATCCGTGAAAATCATGAATGAATTCCTGAGAATATTTTTTAACCTATGCATGTAGTTAAAAGTGCTGGAAGTAAGTCACTGCTCAGAGAGGTTCTATTATAAAGTAGTAAGAGCACAGCCTCTGGAACCAGGCTTCCTTGGTTCAAGTCCTGGCCCTGCCACTTCCTAGCTCTGTTACCTTGGGCAGGTTCCTCTCTGTGCCTCAGTTTCCTCCTCTCTTAATTAGGGCAGTAGTCATATCTTCTTCATGGTTATTGAGAAGACTGTGTGGCTCCTAAGTGCTCAGTAAAGGTTAGTTATAGTTACCATAATGGTTATTGTTGTTGGGCACGGGAAGAGAGGATCCCTCATTCCTAGCATTTACCCCAGCGTCTCATTCCTTGATAGCCCTGGGAGACCATTTCAGAAGAAGTGAATATCACTGGAGACTCCCTCAGTCTGGCGCTGCCCCCACCGCCATCCTCCCCCGTGTCTCGGACCAGCCCACAGGAGCTGTCTGAGGAACTGAGCAGAAGGCTTCAGATCACTCCAGACTCCAATGGGGAGCAGTTCGGTTCTTTGATTGTAAGTAATAGTCTTGTTTGAATGAGAAGTTGAGCAAATATCTTATCATATTTTGCTGCTTTAAGTGAATCTTGTATGCAAATAATGACCAAGAGTTTTCCAGCTGCCAGATAACTCTGACATTTTCCAAAGTTCCTCCTTCCCTAGGAGAAGCAGGACCTTACCAGAATTAGCCCAAGCAGGTGAGAATCTTTCTTGATTTGTAAAGAACTTAGGAGAATAAGAGTCCCTGAGTTCTGTAATTATCAACTTTAACCTTGTAGAATTTCTTTCCCCAGCCAAAGGCTCTTCAATAGTACCATCATCAGAAAGGTGATATTTCATACCGGGACCTAGGAGACGTTGGGCCTGCTAATCAATCCTCTTAAATTGTAGTCTGCATGCTTTATCATTCTCATTTCACAGATGAAGGCATGATGTTTCAGTGACCTATCCAAGACAAGGTTAGAATGCAAGATAGAAGACATCTTCTAAGTCCCAGGGTACAAATCCTTGAGAAGGGTTATGAAATGGTGACACTGACGTCAGGGTTAACGTTTGAATTTGGGTTCTCAGCCATCAGGGAAACTCATTCTAGAAGCTTCAGATGGGGATAAGCCCCAATGAGAAGCAGCAGAATCAGCCATGAAGACCTCCATGTTCGACAGTACAAAACTGTGCAGAAAAAGCCCATAGAAAATTCCTTTTTGTGCATAAATTTAAGAATGAATGCAGTCTCAATGTTTCTCAAGAAATTGAACTTGATGTATTATAGTAAATGATGGTACTGTACTGGAAATGGCATCCTAGAAAAGTAGTCATTATTAAAACTCTATCAAATGAAAATGGATAGGAGGACTGCATAAAATGTAAAAGCAAGTAAGTACTCATAAAATTGTTACTCCTTCAGTTATGGTGTTTTTACTTAAAAAGACAGCATTGGCCCATATTGTATGAGTTGTGGTTACTCATACAATACTCAGTTAATGTGGTTTTATGTTAAAATTCTATGAATGTTTTTCACAAAGAGAAATACCATTGAGATGAAAATTTAGTACTAAAGGAGCATAAAAAAAGAGTTTGCATATATGGGATATTTGAATTGGTAAACTGTTACTATGGAAAAAACATAAGCAATGAAGCCATATATTTAAAACTTATAAAAGGAAGTAAATACTGCAAGAACCATAGCAATTGTACACTTTCAGTCTATGAAGTGAAAAAATCATAATTTTCTTCAGCATTAATATTAAGTTAGCATCCCTAGTTATTTGTATAGGGAGCTCCTTCATTTAATTATTCAAGGTACATACAATATCTTTAAGATTTAAGTGCAAGTGTCAGTATTATTTTAATATTGTGTTGAGTCTGGTTCAACTATTAAGTACGAGTGCCTAAGAAAGAGAAGAATATGGGACTCTTCTCCAGTCTTGCTTGTCAGGGTCACTCACAGTAGCATGAACTTTTACTCAAGAGTGAATCCCTCAGGGGCCGGCCCGGTGGCGTAGCGGTTAACTGCGCACACTCCCCTGCTGGTGGCCTGGGTTCAGGCCCTGGGCGCGTACTGAGGCACTGCTTGTCAAGCTGTGCTGTGGCGGCATCCCATATAAAGTAGAGGAAGATGGGCATGGATATTAGCCCAGGGCCAGTCTTCCTCAGCAAGAAGAGGAGGATTGGCATGGATGTTAGCTCAGAGCTGATCTTCCTCACAAAAAAAAATTAAATTAAAAAAAAAAAAAAAAAAGAATTACTCCTTCCTGCCAACCATTGTGGAAAGACGTGAGTAGCCCCCCATCTCCGCCACAGAGTCTTTCTTTGACCTTATTCCATTTTAGTTATCATTGCAAAATATTAAGAATGAGTAAATGCTACAGACTTGTCCCATGGGGGCTGATTAGACCCCTGGCTTGTTTGTGTGTGATCTGCTCCTGTTCTCTGAGTGGATCTGTTAGACTTTTTTTTTTTTTTGAAACCATATGGATTAATACAAACAAGTGAGAGGAACATACATTCTATACTAGATTTTTTTAGATTAACGTCATTATTTTGCCTCATTCCTGTTCTGTGCGACTTCAGCTCCGCTCAGAAGCTAAAATTATAAATACCTGACCCTTCAGAAGTAGCGCATGGACATAGACTCCAACTGATTCTTTGTCAGTGGTAATAATATTCAATAATGTTGAATAACAATTTATCAGTATTTCTTCCTCTCTTCACATCACACTAGGATTTACCCAGAGGTTGCGTCTCAAGGCAGACTACGAAACTTGTAACTTCTTATTTCCATTTTTAAAGCAGCACTAGAGTGTCAGTGGCCTGTTGAGTCCCCCTTCCTGTTTTGGCCTCCTCCTCTTATTTTTGCTGCTGTTTCTAAGGGCCAATCAGAATCCCAGTCTGCTTAAAACACTTGAGAATGAAAATGGAAGATTCCTTGACTCCTTAAAGGATTACTCTCTCTTTACTCTGAAAAGATGATGTTTCATTTAATTACCTTCTGATATTAAAGAGTGGGGAATAGGCTTGAGTGATATATTTTTTAAGCCAGTAAAACTTGTTTCTAAGAATATGTTTTCTTGATGCTTCATATCCTTTCCTCTCCTTCAGCAAAGAGAGCCCTCCTCGAGGCTGAGGTCGTGCAGTGTCACGGATGCGGTTGCAGAGCAGGCTCATCTACCACCGGTAACCCACGCTCATTTCCGGTCATCAGTTGGCTCTTTTGGCTTTTGTTTAAAATCATCTTGGCTACTGAGGAAGAATTTTTCCTGTTCAAATCCATTTACCATATCAAGGAGACATTAAAATTTCCTAACAAATTGCCCAAGGAAAGTGGATTTCCAATATAAAGTGTTATTATTGCTACCAAAGTCTCTGAGATGCTAAAAACTTAGTTGCTTTGATTTTCCACCCAAATTAATACCAATTCTGATGTGCTTGCTTGAATTCAAGTACTTAACTAAAAGCATACATTAATAATTCTTTTTTTTGTTGTTAAACTTCATTTAGTCACTAAAGCTGTGCTCTGGTGACCTGTATCTTAAGAACTTACTGAATCCCTTTAAACAGGAAGAACTCTTCTGGGTTGTCAGGGCGTATTCCTTGCCATTACTAATGGTCTGAACTCTTAACCCACGAAGTCTCTGTACCTTCTCTTAAAGGCAGCTCTCCTGACTCAAGAATTGGCTATAATTTGTTCCCACTCTCTCACAGTTTTCATAACTAGCAGCAAATACGGAAGTGTGAGGGGTGTTTAATAATATAGGACATATATAAAAATGAACATTCAAATTGGAAGGCAGACCAGAGATGCCTCGGGAGAGGTTTGGTGTACACATTAAAAATAAGAAACTTTACATAAATTTGTTTCTTCTTTTAGAGAAGAAAATATTATGTGGTTTTTAGCACGTTCAATTTGATGTTTGGCCTTGACCAAGTGTTTTATTACTACAAATCTTTGATCATGTTTTGCACTAATACTTTATTGTTAATGAAATTGAAGGAAAAACAAGTGCACCTACAGTTTTTGAAATCACAGTGTCTTACCTATCATGTGCATTTTTGCTCGCCTTAAAAGGATATTTTTTGCCTAGGTTTTACTCTGTGTTTACAAAATGAATTAATGAAGTACACTAGTCAACTGAGCATGAAAATAATAGATTCGGTTGTGGCTTACTTCAAACGGGCTGGTTGATAAGAAGCTAGACAAGAGCGTCCTTTCTGGGATGGTTTCAGTACAGGCCTCCCCAAAAAGCAGAACAATCAGCTGTGGTGGACTGGTGGGATCCTCCTCAACCTAATGATTCTGTGATTTTGCTTGATGGATTAGTGGCACTTTCTCTCCTTTTCAAAATCAATGTCAATTTTATTTGCCAAAGAGCTCGCTTTCCTGGAAACTGAGGTTTCCTCCCTCTTGTACTCTGTAAAGCGGTCAACTCACTGATCACCAGTGGCCTCTTAGTTGATTTTTTAGTTTGGCAGATTTAAGAATCTGCAGGTTATTTAACAGTGGGGGCAAAACCATAGTGGTTTTCAATATTTTTTTGAATAAGACATCTCACATTATTGAGGTTGTCAACTCATTGTTTACCCAAATCAAGGCTGCAGGCTTGAGCCCTCTCTGGGTGGGAGGGTAATCACGTTCCTCTTCTTCTGGTCATCAGTGATTGCTCGGCTTTATTTGCACAGGGTGAATTTCAAGGATTCTGATTCATGTCACCTGCCTTACTGGCTGCAACAGCAGTGATTCCTGATTCAGTAAGCAGTGGGTGGTCTCCCCAAGTGCATTTCACTGATGTAAATTATCATTTAACAGCCCAGTGCCCCAAGTAGGAGAGCCCGTTCATCAACTGTCTCGGGTGGTGAGGAGCCAACGGTAATGATACTCTTGATCAGACATTAATGGCAAAACTGTGGGTTGGTTTTAATATTGCATATGTTTCTTATTTTAAACCTCTCACTCTTTCATTGTTCAAAGGTACTGGGTAAAACTGAGCAATTTTTAGTCTCATATAGTTTTGTTAGGAATCCTGTCAAACTTTGGTTAAGCACATTTAATTTGACCATTTAGAATATATTTTTGCCTTTTAGTGTTTGTACTTCTGATAAGCTTTTCCTATTTGTTAGAATGCTTGGGTAAATTAATTTGGTTGGAAGAGAATCAGAGAAGCCACAGGAATTGCATGCGATTATGCCTGTGAATTCTCAGTTGTGCGCAGGGCCATCCTCTCTTGTGCATTTCCTGTGCCACATTTTAAACACTGGGTGAGATTTTCTGTGTCATGAGCATGAACCAGTGACCTTTCTCTGCTACCAAGGGCTCTACTCCCAGGAATGAACAAGTGTTCGTATACTTCAGGGGGGAAAAGGAGGGAGCACATTTAAGAAGTTTAAAAGGTCTAGAAAAAAATGATATTTCTCTAAGCCAGGTATCTGTTATTCTTATTATTCATTATTTTACATAATTTCTAGTATTCGTGTTTGTGGGTAACTTGGATTTCACTATGTATCTTAATTGCCTGTTTTTTACTTGATCTCTAAACCAGGCCTGCTTATAGATTCTGCTTTGAGCTGCTATAGCTATTTGAAGAATATTCCTTATTGTTGCAGCTTTATGTGTGTTATAACTGCTTATTACTTGAGAATACCTTTAAATACATATCCGATTGCTGGTTTTCTGCAGGATGTTGATAATTTAAAGGAACAGTTTAGTTATATTGTTAGAATTTAGTGCTCAGCGTTGTACACAGGAACATCAAATTGGCAATTAGCAAAAATCAGCCTAGTTTAAGGTATTGAGCTGCAGCGATTTCCATGAAAATCATGTGTTGGGTGGGCTGGGCTCACCCTCCAGTAGAATTCAAAACATTCCAAGTGAACTAGCATGTTTTGTACTGTGCACTAGAAATTTCTATGGGAGTAGGGCTGCGAGGTAGACAAGATCATAGTAGAATTCAGTGCTATGAGCATCCTCTATCATCCATTTTTGCATTTCTTGGCCTTGGGACCTGCTGTTAGTATTGGAGTGTCTGATGGCTGATGGAATTAGGGTAGTACTGGGCTCCGTGGGAAGAGTGACCTGGCAGGACAAAGTGACCCATCTGAGTGAGACCCCTGTGGCCCTCGCCACTGCCCTTTTCTTCTTGCTGGTACTCTCCCCTCCCCCACTGATGAATTAAAAATAGGAGTTTGATTTTGTTATTTATTTTTATTTTTTTAATGAGGAAGATTAGCTCTGAGCTAACATCTGTTGCCAATCCTCCTCTTTTTGCTGAGGAAGATTGGCCCTGGGCTAACATCCATGCCCATCTTCCTCTACTTTTTTTTTTGTGTGTGTGTGTGAGGAAGATCAGCCCTGAGCTAACATCCACGCTAATCCTCCTCTTTTTGCTGAGGAAGACTGGCTCTGAGCTAACGTCTATTGCCAATCCTCCTCCTTTTTTGCTTTTTCCTTCTACTTTTTTTGTATGTGGGACGCCTGTCACAGCATGGCTTGATACGCAGTGCGTAGGTCCACTCCTGGGATCTGAACCTGAGAACCCCAGGCCACTGAAGTGGAGCTTGAGAACTTAACCACTATACCCCCAGGCCGGCCCCTGTTTTTTATTTTTTAAGATTGAGTAGAAGTAGTTCCTAAATGTTTTACCCACTCTCATGCTTTCTATGTACCTGGTAATCTTTCGGCTATAATAAGCCAACTTATTCTATGGCTGCATTAGACATTTGGGTCAGTTTGAAAGTATCACATGTGTTTCTTTTCCGTGCTTACCACCCCTTGTCACGAGTGCCCTTACTCTCTCTTTTCCAGTTCCATCTCCTACCATGTATTTTCCCCTCTTACACACCCTCTCCTGCCCCTCTCCATGTCCACCCCACACTGAAGTGCACCGTCTCGTCCTGGAGCTACCCTGGGACGCATGGTCTCACTGCTTCCTCTGTGCTTTAATGAACACACGTGTGCGCACATACACACACTCATAGGAAAATGGGATCTCATATACTTATTACTAAGTATCTTGATCTGTTTCACTCATGGTCATTCCTCTGGGACATGTTAATAATTATGTAATATTCAATGATGTGATTGTACCACAATTTATATAATTTTCCCACATTGATGAACATTCAGCCCCTTCCCCCCATCCTCGTATATCTCTCTTTCCGTGGTAGCACTTCTATTTCTAAAGTATAATGAAAAAGCCTTGATTCTCACCTGCAGAACCACAGCCCTTTGACTTACAACAAATAAATACACGCTGGTGTCACTTTCCAGTGGGCTATAACCAAGAGCCCTCTCTGTCAGACAGAATGAGAGGAACAGCACAGTCCTTTGGTCTTTGCTGTATATTCCCTAAAAATATACTGAGGTAACAGTGTGGCAGGGTTGGAGCGAATCTTGGAGAATCTGTGATAGTGCCACACTGTTTATCATCTTTAAAAGCATATTAAAACTTTTACAGTTTAAACATAATTGAGTTGTTCATTTTAATGAATAAATGGAGCCACTATGAAGCTGTAGTTAAATGGCTATTTGCCATTGTGAAAAGCTGTGAAAATGTTAAATTAAGCTGACTAGCAGTTTTTAGCTTGTCTTTTGATTAATTAACTTGTTTGGGGTAGTGTGGAATGCATGTGTGCATGAGCACACACACAGTAGGTCTCCTTTTGGCTCCAGGGCTGGGCCACTTCCATGGTCTGTCTGTAGAAGCCGAGTCCTGCCTCCTCCCTGGCTGTGTGGTGGGAGGCAGTGTTTTGAATCACAAATGGAATCATCAGCACAGGTTGTTCTCCACCGTCATTTGGAAAGAAATCTATAAAGAAACGTTTTAATAACGCCATCTCACATAAATGGAACTAGATTATAGGTTGCCAACTCGATTCTTAATAGAAGGTAGAACGAACATTTTAATCAAATTCAGTGTTCCCTGCCACAATCCTAGTTTTCCATAAACTGATCAGTCCTATTAACTGTGGATCTATGAAAGTAACCTGGTTGCTGGAAGTCGTACAGATTGCACATTCAATTCTGAGATTATCCATGACACTTCCAAATTATTTTAGTTTATCAGTGTCCTCATAAATATCCATTCCAGGCATGCTGTAACTATAAAACTATCCTTAAGGTTTGCAGAACAGAGTTTTCTGAGGGCATATCTAATTGCCTCTCCCAAAAACTCAACAGGGAGGGGGAAAAGCAACAAATTCCATTTAGCCAAAGCATTTTTGGTCATCATATAAACAACAGTAGGTAAAAGCTTGATAGCAGGTACTTTGCCAGAAGTACAAATTGACCGCTAACTTAGGTTACAACTTGGGTTCTAACTTAGTTTAGCAGAGTCAATTTTTGTAGTGCCCAGATAAGAAGTAGCCTGGAAATAGCTCCTTTGTATTGGTGCCACAGCTAGAGAAGAGGGAGGAAAGAGCTTCCAGCTGTAGACAAAGTCATCTGTCTTTGATACTTACTGAAGAATCAAGTCTGTGTGTTGGTGTTTCTTCCTCTCTTGTTGTATCCCCACACCTAAATCCAGGACACAATATGGTCAGAGTCTTGGAATTACCATTATGGGGCCTTTGGGACTTTATCTGGAAAAATATCAAGGGAATAGTTGCTGCAGTTTTAGCAGAAAGTTTTTTTGGTTTTTTTTTTTTTTTTTACAAATAATCTTGCCTGGTAAACATGTTCTAGAAATAACCATTGAGGTAGCTGCTCCGTGGCCTCCCTTTTTCTCTGGAGTGTGCTGTTGAGCTCATGAAGTAGAACATTGAGCCTTGTCAACTTAAGTCCCCAAATTTTACATGACAGTGTCCTTGATCATGTCTTCCACTTCAGGGTTCTGCAGTGAACTGGGGACCCTCTGACTGTGACCCTCGTTGCCAAGGCACGTTGTTGGTAGTGAACATGAGAGATGGGGTGAGCACAGGGAGAAGTTGGGCTGAGAGCTTTACATCTCAGCCCAATAACAAGAAAACTACACCTGGTCAAATATCTGGAGGTTCAGAAGATCCTGATGAGGGAAGATAGTACCCAAAAAGAGGCAGCTTCCTTTTGTAACCTCACGTAAGAGACTAGTCCTGATTTGGCCTCTTGTTTCTTTTACACCCTCCCAGGAGCCTTGGTAGCCGTGACTGGCTTCTTGTTTCTGAGCCCCCTCTCATAGAGTAGCACCCTTTTCCCAGTTAGAAGTCTTACATGCAGCATCCGTACATCCAGAACTTCCCGGGATAGCACTGACCTCAAACGTCCATCTCCTGTCTCGTTGCCTGCATGAGTCATTGAAACATCCTTGCTATTCCAATATTTCTCCGCCCAGACTGCATTTCTCAGACTGCTGCTTACAAGCAAAAGTGTGTCAGGAATCCTTTTGTGATCTAATTTGGACTGTCCAAATATAGTCATTCTTTACTGGACGTGTCTCTAAACCCAGAAACTGTCTGTGCTTCATTCATCCTTTAAAGAGACACAGTCCATATGGGAGGATTGGGTAAATACAGCCTTGGTTATCATGCTCCTTTGGAATTCTGACCCCAGATGGCCAGGTGACTTCCTGAGCTTGGGCAGTTGAGATGTCCTGGTTGATCCTCTTGATTATTTGCTACTGGTGTGAATGCAGGCTTCCTAGAGAAGAGACTATATTTTTTCCCCTGAAAGCTGTAGTGTACAGACCCCTAAGCTGATAAAGAGTTTAGGAATAAGCTAGGAGAGCATCCCTGTGGCAGCTATATTGAGAAGAAAATATTCATAGCATTTCTCTTATAGATGGTAACATTTGACAATTTGAAATAACTTTAACTTCCACATGGTTTGACAGTAAAACTTAACAACTAAAACAGATTGTCATATTTTTCTCTTTCCTTATGGTCACGTTAGCAACGACCCTTTATGTTTAAGACTTCGGGGCTTAGAACTGAGTTCTTTAAGATTTCAGACCCCATAGCTGTGCAGGGTTTATTTCATAGTAAATTTGAAGCTTTTGGAAATCTGTTGGTATTTTCCAGACGCTAATGTTTTCGGTACAAATAGAATTAACTTACTTTGTCTAGAACAAATAATTATCTGGGTATACATTACTTTATTAAACTGATCAGCAAACAAATGCATGATATTAAATAATAATGATTTCTTACACAAACAGCCATCAGTGGCCTATGTACATACCACGCCGGGCCTACCCTCAGGCTGGGAAGAAAGAAAAGACGCTAAGGGACGCACATACTATGTCAATCATAACAATCGAACCACAACTTGGACTCGACCTATCATGCAGGTATGCAGATCGCCATACAACTTAAAATCACAAGCAGTAGAAGCCGAAATGTACATGAGCTTCGTGTTCCTGATATTTACATATTGTTCTGAAGAACCCACGTTTAAGAAAATTTTTGTCACAAAGAAAATGCATTACTTAGGCATATTTGCCTAAGGAATAGTTTGATCCCCAAATCAGTCTATCCCTAGATACATTTTCAAAATGTGACATGAAAGATATTTTCAAAGTAAGAGCCTATTACAATGTGTAGCTTCTCTGCCAAGCCCCCCTTTTTTCTGAGGCTGGGTTTTATGCTGGGCTGGTGATGCATTTTTATTTCCTTTGAATGTGTTTCCCTATCCTTTCCCCCATTATTATGTTTAATCATTTCCTCCATGCTTTAAACAGGCCAGACCTCTTATTATTGCTGGCTGTGTTGTTGTTTGGGTCCACACTCCTAATCATAAACACAAGGAGATCCTCATATGAAGCTAACTTGTTTTTGCCTCCAAAATAGCTTGCAGAAGATGGTGCATCTGGATCCGCCACAAACAGTAACAACCATCTAATCGAGCCTCAGATCCGCCGGCCTCGTAGCCTCAGTTCGCCAACTGTAACTTTATCTGCCCCTCTGGAGGTGAGAAGGCTACCTCATCTAACTGGGGTCACGTCTATCCTGTGACTTCTCATTCTCTCTTCTCTCTTCACTTGGACTTCAGTCTTGCAGCCACCTTGCTCTCTCTGATCAGTCGTGTGTTCGTGGTGAAGGGTGTTCTTGTGCAGACTTACTACGTGCTTCTCTGTTCCGCCCAGTTCACACCCCTGGACTCTCTCACCTGATTCTCATTCTCATATGGCTGAGGCCATGGTGACTTGTGCTGGACGTGGGCATCTCTTTTCAGAACTTTCTCCATTCTTGTGTTTTGCTCCTTATTGCCTGCTGCCTCATAAGACTTGCATAATAACTCCTTCAAATACCAATGCTTATATTGAGTTTTAAAACATAGCTGTTGCTTTGATCATTTTTTTTCCTTTTGACTGTAGGGTCTTTCATTGTGCGAGCATATGTGTTTCTGATGCATATCTGCATCTCTAAATCATTGCTGGGCATCTGCTTGTGCTCTCTCCTGTGTGTGTGGTTTTAGCACCATCCCTTAACATCACAAATGTCAGCGAGTTAGAGAAGCCAGAGAGTAAACGTTTGAAGTTCTAAACTTGACTGTGTCTTAGAGATAGCTTTGGGTTTCTCCATGCCCTGGGTTTAAGATGCTGATAAGTGGGAATGGATAATATCTCTTCCAAACTGTGATATAAATGTCATGGGTAACAGCTATGCAATTCCAGGTGGTTGTCTGTTGATAAAGATTTTTCTTTTTGTGCTCTAAAAATTGCCGATCCATTGTTCATTAGACTGTGAGCTCCTTAAGGGCAGGGACACGTTTTTCTCCACCCTCTGTAAAATCTCCATCCGTGATTCTCAACATAGAAGAATATTTTTGGTGTGTACCAAGTAGCTGTCAAAGGATGGTGGTTATAAGTACTTAATGTTGTATGTTTAACCAGTAGAAAAACTCAAAGTTAGATTGTTTTAAAAGTAAAAGAATGACAGAAACAGGTTTTTTTAGGCACTTCCCCCTTGTCCCTCTCCAAAGAGGAGCATTCCCTGATACCCAGGTACATTTTAACACATCTGGAATAGCACATGGTAAGAGTTCTAATGCTCATTATTATTCCTTAGGGTGCCAAGGACTCACCCATCCGTCGGGCTGTGAAAGATACCCTTTCCAATCCACAGTCCCCACAGCCTTCACCTTACAACTCCCCCAAACCACAACACAAAGTCACTCAGAGCTTCCTGCCACCCGGCTGGGAAATGAGGATAGCGCCAAACGGCCGGCCCTTCTTCATTGACCATAATACAAAGACTACAACATGGGTAAGGTTGCTGCTTTTCTTTGGCTCCATTTTCATCATGAGGTCTGGCATTAATTCCTTGTTTCCTTCCTCAGTATTCATTGTACTTGTAGAGAAATTGCACTGACACTGACGCGTGTCCCCAGAGGTCTCCTCAGCCCGCATCTCGACTCTGCACGTACAGGCTTGTGGGACTGGGTGACTTAACAAGCACAGGCGTATGGCCATCTGGTATTGGCACCAGGGTGGATGCATTTTCTTCATAGCGCTCCTGGAAAGCTCTAGTTTGGACAATTTACCATATTTGGAAAAAGAGGTAGTGCCCATATTGCTAGGATTTTCATGTTACTGCTTCACATCTCATGGTGCTGTCATTTTATTAGGAACTTGAATCTTTTTTTAGAATAATTTTTGTCAGTTTCTTTTTCCATTTTTATTGATGTTACCCATTTTTATTTGACTTGTCCTTTTAGTTTTTAGTGTTCGCGTCAGATTAGTATCTTACACACTTCCGTGCTACATTTCATACCTTTAATTGTGGGTTGGGAGATAGACTGGAGGACTTTGGTTGTGAATTTGGTAGCTCTTTTTGGTGAACATTTTGTCGAAATTGGTCTTTGTTATCACACTGCGCCTCCATGTGCCCCGGAATCGTGCGTAAGGACGAACCTGTGTGTTGTATTAACTTGGGCAAGATGAGGTTAATCAAAGGTGCACATGCTTACCTTTATACTCTTCTGTTAGTTCTTCATTTCTGTAGCAGGATCAGTGGTGGGTTGTTTAATGGAGCGTATAGTTCTTTTAAAAGTCGGTATTTTTCTACTCCATGATCTCTAGACCTGTGATTAAACTGAAATTGGTTCTCTGGTTTCTGACCATTTCTGAGGGCTACAGAAGTTCTGTTTTTCTTCTGTCCCTTGTATCCCCCATCTGATTGTCTGGGTACAGAGGTTAACTCAGTCCTTCCAGCATCTGTGTTACTTGCTTAGCACTGATATTCTGTGAAAGCTCATTGGGTTTTGGTGATTGTCATTGGCCCTGGCTCTTTGGTTTTGGACCAGCAGTGAACACATGTTTTAAATTCCCATTTCTAGTGAAGACACTGAATGTGTCCAGTTGGGAGAAGAGCAGTATTGTGTTAAGGAAGAGGCCCGAACCAGAGTAACCAGGACTGTCATTTACACTTTGCCCATGGTGTGATTTTAATTTAGTCTCTTGAGGATTGGACTAGGTGGCCTAGAGGGCTCTCTCCCTAAAAACCTGTGGATCATGGTGCAGCATGCTTCCACAAGGACATTCTCAGTAGGACTGTGCCTTTTATTCTAGGACATTTAACGTCGTTGGCTCCTGCCACTGAATGCTAATAGCCACCATTCCTCCCCCTGCCCCCATCACAGTGATAACCAGAAATGCCCCCCACATTTCCAAACACCCCTTAGTGAAGGACATTCTAAAAGTTCTTCCTATGTTGAAGTAAAGGAATAGCCTGCCAAGAAAATTTATCATTTAGATCTAGTGACACTCATTTGGTAAACTCATAACAACTTCTAAGGTATGTCATAACATGTAGCTTTGTTTGACTCACCTTTCAGTCTGAAGATACTATTACAGGTTTGTGGGCAAGTTGAGAGTGAGAGATAGGCAGCTTTTTGGAAAATACAGTAACAGAGATTGGTTTTTAGGTCTTTTTTCCACATTGACATAGAACCTGTGGCTGCCCAGCTAATGTACCCATTTCTACTTACTACAGCATTGCTGTGATTTCAAGTCCTCAGCCAGAAATGGGAGCTCCAGAAATAGGGGGTAAATATTGTAAAAGTAGATGGATTAGTGTATGGAGCCACTGTGGCTTGCCAACATAAGCTATGATTTTAGTAATTTGAACTAGCTTAGTAATCAAATCCTCTAACCTTTTCGCAGCCTTTCACGCCACAACTTCAGTGTAATTGCAGCTGGGCAAATTTTAATTTAAATAGCACCAGCTTTATTTATTGCCTACATCGTTATTGAATGAAACCGAGTTTGAATTTCCAGTTGTCCCTTTCTACCCAGATACTTGTTACTGACTAATTTACTAATTTAAAATTTTAGTTTTTTAAAACAACATTTTGTTGCTGCTGCTGTTGTTGAAAATCCTTAAGGTAACAACTGGAAATTCCACAAGTTACTACCCTTCTTCCCTAAACTCAGATGTGCTGACAGCTGCACTATCCCTGCCAAACAAAGGCCTCTGCAAAATGCTCCTGTGGAAGGCACACTCCAAATTGCCTGTTTATTTTGACAAAAGATGGAGGGGTGGAGGGAACTATAAAGATAATTTTCACCTTAAAATCTGTTTTGAGTTGGTTTGGGATTTGCTTTGTTTGTTTTCTAGCAGAGGGAAGGAATAGCATAGCTATTCTTAGATTTGAGGATTATGATACAAAAAGGAAGAAAAACTGGTAGGACAGGTTGAGCATAGTGGAAATAGTCCTCCTTCACCCGTCAACCTGTGTGCTCTTGATTCCTGTACTAACCAGGAGTATGAAAAGGTTCAGGCCAGCATTTCCCTTGTATACATTGATAGAGGAAAATTCTCTTTGAAGTCTGTTTATAAAACACAGCCTTTTGCACACGCGAATAATGGAGGCTGGAATAAAGTGTGACCACATCCAGTGAGCGTCACTTTGTTCCCACTTGGGGCGGGCGGGCCATGGGTACCTGCTGGAGGCCACCAGGAGACTGAGGAGAGACTACAAGAGGCCTTCAGCTTGCCCGTTCCTTCTGCTAAGGAAGCTGCTCGAAGCATGTATGTAAGAGTATATTTATGTCTTTTACCAGACAAAGCATGGGCTTATTTTTGTAGCAAGAAAGATCATACCTTAATTAAGTTTCAGGTTTGTTTTCGACCCAGGTCCAGACTAATAAAACTCAGTGCAGCCCAGGCACAGTTGTTGATCTCTTCCAGGATGGAAAAAGCACAGTTGTTTTTGAACCAGCCAGCATTCCCATATTTTCTATAGTTTTAAATGATTCTGCTAGAAAACTTTTTTTTTTTTCCCTTAAGATGTTGATCTTTGCCTTCTGTTTAAAAACTCTGTCAACTGTATTGAGGGAAACAATTATGAAATATTGAAATAATTGTGAAATAGTGAAAAAGAGTGCTGTTACTATGCTGAGGAAAGGTAGAAACGACCAAGTGTGTTTGCATATTTTATTCATTTATATTCATATCATTTGAGACCTCATGGTATTCCAAGTTCCTGTCAGCCCTGAAGTTGTCATAATTCATGTTGGGCCATGGCTGCCCTCTGCTCCATCAGCGTGGGGGGCCTGCCTCTCCGTTGTTCAGGGGATCCAGTGGGAGGGTGGGTTCGGTAGTGCCCACTAGACTTAGCCCTCGGAGCTTGACGGGTGGCAGCTGCTGCCATTATTTTGATTTTTATTTGTATAATAAAGTAATATGACCCCTGAGGGCCTCTAAACTTCACATTTTATGAATTCTGGGTTTCCATGCAAGGCCATTTAGCAGACCTGTGAAACTGAGTTTATTTTATACTTCATGCCCCCCACCCCCTTGGCACTTTTCTTTAATTGTAGCTGCTTCTTTTTTTTTCTTTTTTTTAAATCACCAGCTTTTTACCAAAAGAGCTGATTGTCTTTTCACAGTAGCCTGTGTGTGTGATTCCAAGGCAGGGCCACCCTTGCCTGGAACGTCCAGAAGCCCCTGCCCTCTTCCATGTCATAGGAGTCTCAGGCTCTCTAAACCTAGCATGGCCGGTGGCTATGGGGCCCAAGGGTCCCCTGTGGCGGTGGCATTACCTGGTCCAGCTCAGAGTAGGCACTGAGTGGGTAGCTTTTGTGGAGTTTAGTGCTCTAAATGTTACCTCTGTCCACGATTAACCTGTCACAAATGTTTACCAGATTATCAGCTTCTTGGACCTTCCACACCTGAAATCTACTTAGTGTATCTGTGTACACTGTCTGTGTTCCAGTATAATACAGAATATTAGACCAATTTTATGCCTCTAATTACCCTTTAGAAAGTCTGTTAGTGAGGTTCAGGGTCAATATCCATCATAAACTGCTAACGTGATTTCTTCAATTAAAAGTTTACTACAGTTAACAGAAAGCAAAGGTTGAGTTTATGTTTTGATTTTTTTGTTGTTGTTTTTTTTTTTTGATTCTTGCCAGTTCCAAAAATCTGTCACTGTTATAATCCAGTGATACTAACAGTTTATACGGTTGATTTGGGAAATTTTTTTAACAGCTTTATTGAAATATAATTCACGTCGTACAGTTCACTCATTTAAAGTATACAATTGAATAATTTTCATACCATTGAACAAGATGTGCAACCATCACCATAATCAATTTTAGAACATTTTCATCACCCCCAAGGGAAACCCCATACCCCAAAACTCAGAAAGTGAGTTTTATTTTCCAAGGTTTATACCAATTATTTCATTTTCTTGTTGACTTGGGAAAATGCTGAGGCAGAAAACCGTTTAGTAATTTTAGAGCAACAAAGGCTTTAATATAATTGAAATAAAGGGTTTTTTTGAGGTTAATTTTCAAGGTGGTTTTTTTTTTAGGGTTTTTTTTTTTCAATCCTAGGCTTATTTGGTTGACAGTGTGTTATTCTGAGTTTTATCATTTGTTTTCTAATCTTTAGAGTTTAAAATATGAATTCTCTAAGTTACATTGCATTTTAATTGGGTCTGTAGAAGAGAAAGGCAGTGGGTCAGCACCTTTGGACGAGTTCTCATTCTCTCTGAAACTCAGCTTCCTCATCTGAAGCAGCAGAGATCATGTGCCCAGCCTCCTAACAGGGCACTTGCAAGATCGTATGTCTGACTGTTCTTTGTAAATTATAAAGCATGACCGAGGATGTCAGAGTACATATTTCTCTTTTGTTGGTTCTCTGTGGTATCTTATGAACCATATCCCTTAAGGAAAATATTTTACAGACTTTTAAGTGTTAAGACATAAATGAGAATCTAATCTGCAGAACTTGATCAAGAATCTCAGTAAAAAAAATTCTGTAGTAGGGATATGACCTTATATGATGAAGCCGACTAACTCGGGCAGGACATGACTTGACAGTCAGACCAGATGTAGATTCTCTGCTCTAGGTCAAGGAGGGGTGGACAGGAGCAGCAGGAAGCTCGAGTGCTGATGGAGGGGCTCGCTGCCCTCTCCCAGAACTCAGGATCCATAGGGAGATTTACAAACTACTTTCCCCACTCCCTCTCTGGGGAGTAGAGCCTGGTCTTCACTGGCGCCTTCCATTCTGGTTTCCATAGTAACGTCATTGCTGGGTCCCTCTTCCTCTTTGCTTGCTCAAGGTCTCTGGGAAATGGTTAATCTTTTGCTTAAGTATTCTTATTCTCTTCTAACATACAGCTCCAGAAGGGAAGGAGCCAGTAACTGCACACAGAGAGTCACTCTTAACATCTTTTGCTTTTTACATTTTTCTTGCAGGAAGATCCACGCCTGAAATTTCCTGTACACATGCGATCAAAGGCATCTTTAAACCCCAATGACCTTGGCCCTCTTCCTGTGAGTACACTGGAGACATGTAGACAATCTGCAAATGTTTATTCGTTCATCTGCCCCATGCTGGTGGAGAGGCCCTATGGGCCTTCTGTTTCTCCAGGCTTTTTGGGTCCCATTGGTCTGTAATTTCTTAATGGAATTGAGTGTATGGCTGAATTCTAGTAGTACATACAGGTCATACAACACCCAGTTGTGAGAGATTTCTGAATTGCTAGCTGCCAGTGGAAGGCAGACCTTTAACTAGGATGTAAGAGGCATTCTCTACAGGTGACAATTTAAGCAACATGGATTTATTTTGTAACTTAGCAACCACTAAGTTCTATCCATATAGCTCATTTAGTCATTGGAACAAAAATATTAAAAACAGTGGGAGAAAAAGGCATAAGTAATCACAGAAGGTTTCTATAAGTCATTTAGCCTGCAAGTATTTTAAGTTTTTCTCCCTCATTGATGACCATTTATAAATCTAATTTTTCATCAGTTTGTTCTCTGTTAGGGCCCAAGTGGGAGTTGACCTATTTACTCCAAATTGGATTTTGAATGAAACTTTCACGATGCGTCCTCCTCCACCCACCCCCAATTAAAAAGCCTTACAGAAGCAGGAAAGTGAGGAGACTCTAAGACGATTTTAGAATGGTGGGGGTGCTGGGAGGTTTTGGTTGTTTTCCAAGTGTAAGAACCTTTCTTTTGCCTGGTGTATGATATATTACGGCTAAATTTGAAGCTGGAAAGGTTAGGGTTCAATCTTTATTCATCAGGTGATATCCCTCACTCTCCAAATCTTTTTGGTTCCTAGGTTTAGATGGAAAGAGCCCGGAGAGTATCTGGAAATTGAGTTTAGAAAGTGCAAGAGTGCGTGTTTTCTGGATCTGTTAGATTCCTGAATTTCAGATAGTAGGTAGGCACAGTACAGATAACAAGGGCATATCAGCCTTATCTTAGAAAAATTCTCCGAATCTGTTTAGTTCCTGGCTCTGATAGTGAGAGGTCGTAACAGAGAATATTGGTATTAGATTGTTCAGCCACCTGATCACAGGAATAAAGCACCTGTCTCTAACATTTTCATATTAACCTTCCCCCCACCTTTAGTACTCAGTAAATATTTATTTAAATGAGCTAGTCAACCCCAAACTCAACTGTTCCACAGACGCTGAAGTTTCCCTTTGAAGTTTTTAGAATAGCAGCCCGTTCCCTGTTCATCATACAGTGAAGGCATCTGAGACTGTTGAACCGTGATCAAGTGTGTTGCTAGATGTTGTCAAGAGTTTGTAGTTTCTTCTTAATGTAAAAATGTAGCCTAGCAGGGAAGAGTAAGAAGGTGTCCTAGAGTTTAATTTTGCCTTTGATTTTGGAACTGCTGACTAATGTTCGTATTCTCTCTCTTACCCGCTAATACTAGCCTGGTTGGGAAGAAAGAATTCACTTGGATGGCCGAACCTTCTACATTGATCATAGTAAGTAGGCACTGTTATGGGCACACAGGTACTGCAGGTAAAGGGAGGGGGAGGGGAATTCAAATATTATAGTGAAAGCTTTGTCGTTTTACTCTTTGTCTAGGCAGCCAGGTGTTATGTGGAGAGAGTGATACCAGAGAATCAGTGCCCTCGTACGGTACTGTGCATTCACCCCCAAGTCTGCTTTAAAGTAGCCCATCGAGCTTTCACCCAGTTCCATCTTGTGACCTATTAACTTATTTTTTTAATTCCAAAAAAATTTTTTGGTTGATGACCCCTTGACTTTTGCGCTTTTAATAAATACACTCTGGTAATAGAAAATAAGATTAGAAGTGACGACTGAGTCCAAAATCGATGTGTGAGCAGTGCGTGAAGCAGCATGTCAGTTTGGTAAACATTGCCTTGAAAGGTGTCATGGCAAGATGCCCGCTCTGACTTATTTTCTATTCATAGCATGTCTCCTTGCACCCGACACACTAATATATATGTAGCTCTTTTCTTGAAATTGTAGTCTATTTGCTGCAGCACCTATGAATAAATGTGTGGTTTCTCATTTCAACTAAAAGTTAAACTAATAAAGGTTTGCTTTTAGCCAGTTTTTTTTTTCTTTTTTGAGGTGACATGTTCTCCATGGGATCATATTTGTGTATCCCTTGAAACTTCTAAAAACGTGTATTAAAAAGAAATCTTCAAATAGAGTTAAAGTTCCAGTCATGCGTGTGGTTTCGTGGTATTTTGATCTTTGTTTTCATTTGGTTCATGAGCAGTAAGTCTGCACCAGGTTTCCCCAGCCTCACATTTTTTTAACTAATGAAAAGTATGCCGAGGAGCCAAGTGCTGGGAAGTCTGGCCACGAGGAATCATCATATGGATAGGGCTTGTCACTATCTCGTAGATTTAGTGCATCTTCCAGGTGTTACTAAGCAACTGAGTGAACTGTGGACAAACCTTCACTTTTGGGCATGGGAGCTTGAGGGGTTATTAAAAAGTGGATTAAGCAGGAAGCCCAGCAGTTCAGAATTAAACCAAAGGTAGAAGTTCTGGGTGTATTGGGGGGGGTGGTCTACTCTTTGGTTTAAATTAGATATTGCAAGGTACATAGGCATAGTTTTTGTCTTTGACCAGTAAAAATACTGGTTTACCTACTTTTCAGAATTTTACAGGGAGCATAAAATTGCTGCCATAAATGCTTCAAAATGTGTATACCCCCACTTTTTTCTCTAATATACTATTTATTTATAATTCTACTCTTATCATAATTTGTTAAAATAGAAGAGGGGTCACACCCCTTTTTCCCACTAAAAACAAAAGTGTTTCTTTTTCAGTTTTTTATGCATTACAATTTCAGTTTTCAAAGATAGGTACAAATAATAATCATTTCATTAAAACCAGATGTTAACCAGTAAAACAACCTTGGTCTGCTACACACAGAGAACAGTTCACACGACACGGTAGCCATGTTCTGGCTGGTGATCTGATGTTCAGGTCAACCTGAAAAGAACTTGACGAAGTTCTTAATGTACTGCAATGACCCGAAAAGAAGAAAAACACTATTGCAAAGGGCCATCCTAGTATACATAGAAATAATAAAAATCGTAGACTGTTTTTCCAGTGGTGTGCATAGACGTAGTAAAATACACAGTAGATACATGGTGACTTGAAGTTGATTCATGGCGGGTCAGTGGTGACGGTGTTAGGATGTCGATGTCCTTGGTCAGAAGGCGGACAGACGGCCTTGAGAAGCAGCAACAGTGCCCCCCGCCGCGGGCTCGCCCAGCTCCTGTTTGCTGGGAGGCAGGAGAGGATAGTTACTTGCTAAATACCTGGGCAGTTCCTTAGTCCTTGTCAGTCCACCGGTCCCTCCAAACGCTCCTCTCAGTCGGTCCCGGTTCCTCTTGCCAGGACAGCACATGGGAGGCTCCTCTTCGCTCCTGCACGTGGAGATTGATATTTGCCTTTGTGCAGTCATCCTGAAAGGTTCTCTTAACCAGATAGAGTGTAAGGAAAAGATCTGTTTAGGAGATCCTCATTAGCTGTCAATGCAACATTTCTGCTGTTTGTCCCTATTTTGTCAAGATTTACTCAATGGAAAGCGATAAAGGCATACATATCAGTGAAGCCGAGTTCAATTCATATGCCTTTTCACCAAAATCCAGTCTGTGCAAAGCACAGAACACCTATAAGAGGCTTTACCAGGCTGACAGGTGCACTCCAAAATGGGTTTAATTATTTCGTAGATAACATTTAAGAATTTCCTTATCTTCCCAATGAGCCTCTCTTTCTAAAGAGTTCTTTCACATCTGACTTTCTAGCAAAATTCAACATCTCATTTTGCTGTCTGCAGGACAGAAACCAGGTCATCCCTATGTATGCCATTTTACTGTGAAAGCAGTCATCTTTTGAGTTATTCAGAGTCATCCTGTCTTCTACCATTGCTGGGACATGTGACTGCACACTGAGTGACAAAGACTGCAGTGCACTTGTCTTTTAAATAGGTTATTTTCTGCTTCATAAATTCTTGAGAAGTTAGACATTTTCAAGATTAAAAATATTCAGCCATCTTAAAGATTTAATTTCAGAAGAGATGACTGCTCGATACTGATCTCCTCTTTGGACTGCTTGATTCATTTGGTTGACATTTATCGACAGCTCCTAAGTCTCAAGCCTTGTGTAAAAGGTTAAGGGAAGGTCTTGAACTGAACCTCTACTTCTCTTAGGAATCATGTGATTCTTCTTGAAGGTATACCCAGCAGCTGAGTAATTGGCTGCAGGTATCTTATGTACAAAGCTAGAAGAGAAAATAAAATTCCAGTGATGCTGTAAAATCCTGTTTTAGTCTTTCCTGCCAGCAGTTTTACCAAATCTGTTAATAGCAGCTAAATTGACTGAATTTCTCATTCTTTGTCTTCATTCTTGTGCCTTTATTTGAAATATAACGTTTTGAAGATGAAAAGCAAGTTTAGATTCAAAAGCTCCAGGAAAAAATGGATTAACTGGCCACCATACATTCGTGTATTGACAATACTTAGCCGCAAAGTTGATCTCTATTGTAACCACACAGAAACTTGTGTGGTTCTGAAAGCTTAGGCTGTTTCAAAGGGACTTTGTTTTCACCATGAGCTTCATTCAGTCATTTAAAAAATTACATATTAGGCTCCTGTTATATGCTGGGAACTGTAGTAAGTGGTGGAAAGGGACTGCAGAGATGAATAACACACAGTCCCTGTCCTCGAGGGACTTAGCTTCTGGTAGGGAATACTAGGAGTTATTTAAGTGTTGTATTAGAGGAATGAACCAGTTGTTCTGTAGAAGGAGCAGAGGAAGAAACTGCCACCTTGCTAAGTGGTTGAGCGCCAGGGGTTGGAGCATGCTGCGAGAGGGCCTTATGGAATGGGTTACTTTTCAGATGGATCCCAAATGATGAGTAAGCTTCGGCCAGCCATGCCCAGTGAAGAGTGATTCCGGGAGGGAAAAGACCTGTGCAGGTGTAGAAGCTGTGCAGATTCTGCCACATTCAGAGAGACGTGGTGGGGTTGCAAATGGCCAGTGTGCCGAGGAGGCCAGCGTGACCCATAGGTCCAGCCGAAAGGGTCTGCCACATGTAGTGGCAGGTCGCTGCTGCAGGCAGGAGGGAGCTCCTGAGGGATTTTCCAGAGGGGAGTGACAGTGGTCAAATTTGTTTTTTAGAAACATCCTTTTGGGGCCGGCCCGGTGGCTTAGTGGCTAAGTGCGCGCACTCCGCTACTGGTGGCCCGGGGTTCGGATCCCGGGCGCGCACCAACGCACCGCTTCTCCATTCATGCTGAGGCCGCGTCCCACGTACAGCAACTAGAAGGATGTGCAACTATGATATACAGCTATCTACTGGGGCTTTGGGGAAAAAAAAAAAAAGGAGGAGGATTGGCAATAGATGTTAGCTCAGAGCCAGTCTTCCTCAGCAAAAAGAGGAGGATTAGCATGGATATTAGCTCAGGGCTGATCTTCCTCACCAAAAAAAAAAAAAAAGATCCTTTTGAACAGTGACTGGGTTGTGATACTGTTAATCGGAAATAGGATAGATGAACAGTTTTTGGTATTGGAAGATTATGGGTTCAGTTTTGGTAGAGTTGGGTTTGAGGTACCTATGGGAAGTCAGGTGCAAATATCAAGGATGGAGCTTGAAGTTGGATATGGATTGAAGCTTTGGGAGTCCTCATGTGTAGGTAGTAGTTAATTTATTTTCTTCTTGATACAATTATAGTCCAAGGCAGTTTTCACTCAGCTGTATTCTGTTTAAGACTTTACCTCTACTTTCATTAAAATGATTAAAATCTGGTATAGACTTTGAAAAATTCCTGGTATGGTCACTAAAACCAAATTTATTAGTTATTCTTATCAGTCCACTTATAGCATATACAGGAAATAAACAGAATCAATATTCTTACACACGTGATTTTCTTTTTTTTTTTTTTTAACCAACTCAGATTTCCTAAAACTCCAGAGACAACCCATCCTCCCCCGTCTGCCCTCCCCTTATCTTTCCTGAGTCCATCCCTACCCCCACACACACACACACACAGTAATCCATAAGGTCTTGTTAATCATGCACCGTCACAGTTCCCAAGTGATTCAGTGCAGCTGTTATGTGGGATCACCTGCACCATTGAAGTAGTGGTTACAGGTGGCATGAACCAGTCTTGTTGACATTGGCTCATTTGGAAGAAAGAAAACCACTTCTCGCCACCTTGGCCAAGAGGGGAACCTTTCTCTGGAATGTTCTGCTGCTGAATCTAATTCTCATTTTCTGGACTGCCTTAGCTGCTTTGATTTTGGGATGCGTATGAATGACACATGTAATGGATTATTCATTTTTTTCAATGTAGGATTCTTGAAAGCAGTTTTCAACGCTATAAGCAAAGAAAAAAATATTTGAAATGAGAAGAATCGTGTGTGTGTGACTTTTGGGGGACTGAGCTTTTTCTGCCTTTCTTTCAGTTAAATGAAAATCAAGACCAAGTTATAAATCCTTGAAAGAACGGGGGTTTATAATTGAAATGTTGGCAGATTGCTTGCCTAAAACAGCGTGAATAGATGGTTTTTCTTTAGTGGTGCATTTTTGATTGAGTGTTTTTAAAACTAAACAGTATGTGGGGGGTTTGCCATGTAGACAGTAGTTCTCTTCTAACCCTGAAGTACTAAGTTATTATCTTTGGGGCCGGGGTGGGGACTGGACAGCTTTTGAAGAATCCAGAAATAATTATAAAACATTTTTGACATAGAACAGATTTGAACTAATGTTCTGATTTTTTTCTTTTTAAACATTAATTTTCAGATAGCAAAATTACTCAGTGGGAAGATCCAAGACTGCAGAACCCAGCTATTACTGGTCCGGTCAGTATTCTCAAGTTCTGACTCTTCAGTGTAATATTTTGGTTGCATCTAAACACAGATTTCTCATATATTACTGCTTACCTTGGTGCTGAGGGCCTGGTGTACTTGAGTGGCTTAACATTACTCCCATCTCCTTACCAGAACTTCCGGGTGACGGACAGCTGCTTTTGCCTTTCATTATAAATGAAGAGAAAATGGTTTGCTAATGGTAGCAAAACTAAATGTTTTCTTTTCTCCTTTATAAAAGGGTAGATTAAAAGTATAGCTATCAAAATATCCTCTCTTGCTTTTTATATGACACAAACTAAGCCTTATATTTGTAGAGTTTTGTCATTTCTTTAGGCCAAGGGTAATACATGCATGCTAACAAATTTAAACTATATTCTGAATCTCTTCCGGCTCTAAAAATCTGTAAAAGTTTGGGTGAGGTTATAGCTAACTTCTGGAGCTAGCAGAGTTAAGAATCTTTATCTCTGCTGACCCACTAACTTTCTCCTGGTCTCCTCATATATGTCAGGTGGAAAAAGAATCAGTTCTGCCTTAGGTATAGTGTCCTCTTAAAGTACAGCCGCACACTATGTTCATGGGAATAGTGAGGATCCCGCTGTCCTTCCGCAATAAGGGACACTTGGGATCAAACCCCTGTGAGGAGTCTATAGCATGGGGCCGCACTCATCAGCGTCTTTTTGCAGTGGTTATATGAGTGCAAGGAGATAATCTGAGAGTACAGGAAATGTACTGGGATCAGCAGAAGACTGCAAATTTAGGACTCTTTCGAAAACTGGAGGAGCAAAAGGAAGTAAAGTTTGTTATATCGAGTGCTGAACTAAGAGGCCAGTAGGTATATTTAAAATACTAATTTCATGGCTTTAATCTGATGCAGTTCAGTTAACGTTGAATTACAAAGATAAGTCCACGTATTAAAAGATAATACAGTGCAAACCTTGAGACCTGACATCCCTTTAGTTATTTGTTGGATTTGTTCAGCTGCTTCGGTGCTGTTTAATCCCAAGTGCCCAGTAATACCTGGGCTAAAACAGACAGTCAGCTACTTTTTATGTAGCTGAACAAACAGTGCCTCACTACCATGGCTTCCTTTGGATATATTCAGTCACAATAAGTTGTTAGAATAGTATTTTTCCTTCTATATCATAAGAAACAAGATAAATTCAAGAAATAATACTGTTTTCAAATGACAGAGGACTTGAGACATGATCATTCTGAAGCCGTTTCAGATATTTCTATCACTTATTGATCTTCTGCCTTCACTCAAACACTGTTAGTTTTTATTAATTACTATGGAAAATAATTTAGCATCATAAATCCAGGTAGATTTGCCCCAAAGAAAGATCACTATTTTTTTCTATTAATAAAAGAGCCTTGTTAGTAGTGATATCTCTTTCAATAAGAGCGTATGTATTTAGGTAATTATCAACTTAGTGTAGGCATCTGGACTTTATTGTCACTCTATGACATAGAGTGACAATAAAGTTCTAAATGTTTGGTAATTGCCATAACAGTTTCCTTCTCTCCTTGGCTTATGACTTATTGAGAATGTGCTTTTTAGTTTCTGAGTGTGAAGGGTTTTTGCCTATCCATTTCCTACTGATTTCTAATTTTATTGCATTGTGGTCAGAGAATATTGTCTATGGAATATTGATTATCAGTTATTTGAAACTTCCTTGGAGGCTTGGTCATTTTTTGCAAGTGTTCTTTTTGTGTTTGAAAAGAATGTTTCTTCTGTCTTTGTTGGGTGTAGAGTTCTTTATATGTCCGTTAGATAAAGCCTGTGGTGTTCAAATTATCTGTTTCTATTACTACTTTTTTCCTGACTGTTATATCTGACCAAGAGAGTTGTGTCAGGATCTCCCATGGTGCTGGTGGCTTTGTCAGTCGTTACCTTCACTTTCTCTTCATTGGTGTTTGCCTTGTATATCTTTTCTATCTCTAAACTAGCTGGGTTTTTTTCCTGTGTTCTTGCCTTCTATTAGATTGCTAGAGTACTCTTTATTTTCTTTCTTTTTCTATACTTTCTTTGAAGTTATATTTTCTATTTTTGTTTTAGTGCTCACATTAAAGTTTTTAATCAACATACTTAATGTCAAAATCAATCCCTCTCTGCTGTCCTCCTGGATAATATAGGATTCTAGGTAACTTGAAGGGGGCTCTTCCCACTCCCACTTTCCACTGTTCAGTGGAATTTTAAAACTGCCTTGTCTTGAAACTTTCCAAATAGTCATTAATAGTTTATCTTTTTTTTCCAACAGTCAATGCTCATTTAATTTACTTATGTGTAAACAAATGTCTTTGTCCACCATTGGTCCTGGCATCTACTTTTTTCCAGGTTTCTTCTTAAGTATAACCTCTAGTTCGTGGTTCTCAAAACATTGCCTACAGATAGCAACGTCAGAATCATCCAGAAACTTGTTAGAAATGCAGATTTGAGGGTCCCAACCTAGACCTACTGAAAACCAGCAACTCTGGGGGTGGGCCCAGCGCTCTGTTTTAACACCCCGTCTCAGGGATTCTGATATCCACTCAAGTTGGAGAACCTCTGCTCAAGGAGCAATTTCAGTGAGAGTCTGAGAGTGGTGTAAACTCTCTTAGTCATTTGACCTTTCTGTGAAATGATAGTTTAGCTGATTATAGAATTCTTGGTTAACAATTATTTTCCTTCATTACTTTGGAGATATTCTTTTGTGTCTTCTGACCTCCATAACTGATGTGGAGAAGTTTGTCGTCAATTTAATTGTCATTTTTTGGTGGGTAAACCTCTTGTTTTCTCTGGTGATTTTGAGTTTTTCTGTGTCTCTGATGTTCTGCAGTTTTAGTATCACGAATCTAAGCGTGGATTTCTTTATATTTATTCTGCTTTCAACCCGTGATCCTTCAGTATGAGGACCCTGTCTTTACTCCTTTCTGGAAAATTCCTTAGCAGTTATTTCTTCACATATTGCATCTTTCCTGTTCCTTCTGATTTTCTGTATCAGTAACTCCTCCTGGGGACTTGATTCACCTTCACATTCTGTCTTCTCTCTTAGCTTTCCTATTTTCTAGCTCTTTCTTGTTGCCTTATTGTGGGCTCAGCTCTTCCAGTTAATTCTTTCTTAAGCTTTTCATAATCTCCTCTTTATCAGTGCGTTGTGTCTGTTGTTTCACTGACTATATTTAATTGCTCAAAGTTCCATTTGGTCTTTTAATTTGCTTCATCTTTTTGGTTATTGTTATTCTGTCCTTTTCTTTTCTTTCATGTCTTTATTTGTATTTGTAGCTCTTTGATCATTCTTAAAATACTTATTTCACAGCCTCTTTCAGATTATTCTATCATCTCTGGTCCTAGGGGCATTAAATCTCCTACTTGTTATATCTGTAGATTCTCCTCAACGTAGTTTATTGCTTAGTTCAGTTTATAATTAGTGTGTTTGTGCTCGTCTTTGTTTTCTTTTCCTATGGGGTTTTTGTAAGTCCTGACCTGTATTTACTGTTACCTTCTTACCTTGGTTCATGCACCCCCAGTTAGTATAACTACCGACCTCATACACACTTTCCTGTAGGCTTGGACTGTTTATTACAGGTCTGTTTCTTTATGTTTTTCTCCCATTTATGGTCCTGGACAAAAGGTAAGCTTCTTTACAACTTTCCTGGACCGGTGGGTAGAGTTTCCTTGTCTCCTTTTCAGATGTAGGTTTTAAGCAGGGAACTCTGTTCTCACTACCTAGATCTTACTGACTGTAGGCCAAGTTCCGTGTCCCTGTGTGAGGATTAAAACCCAAGCCCAGGCACCTGTGTCTAAGTCCGGTGCCCACTTCTCTAGTTTTGAGTCTTTCTGCTTCTCTGGTACCTAGAGTTCCTCTCTCTTTTTCCCAAGTTTTAAAAATATCTACGCCTTAGGGAGAGGGGCCCCTTTCTGTGGCAGCTCAGCACAGCATTCCTGTCCGTCAGTGTGTGCTCTGTGTAACAGACGTCACCATTAAAAGCACTGATGAAGTGCTGTCCGTGCTTGCTGCTCCCATGAGTTCTCTCTCATGCTGTGTAAGGCCTTGTACTTTTCCAAGAACTTTATCATCAGCTGCTTTGAAACTCATGGCAATCCCCTCAGGAAGGTAGGGAAGATGTTGTTATTCCCAATTTGTCAGAAGCTCAGAAAGCTAATGGTGTTGCCAGAAGTTCCAGCAAACGTCAGAATCAGGCCTGGAGCCCCACGTGTGCCGGCCTCACCGATGCTCCATGTCAGGGGCGAGCCCTTCTCCCCAAGGAGCTCCAGTCTCAGCGGGACAGGAATGACGTGAAGACACTTAGAGCCAGCTGACACAGTGAGGCAGGTTGTCATGTTGTTCAAAAAGGAAAGCATATCTAATAACGAGCAAAAGAGCTTTAAAGCAGGCATGTTCATTTTATAGGCGTATTTTACAAGTTAAATTGTATGTGAGAAAGTAAGATGCCAGATTTTCAAAAGAGATAAGTAATTCGGCCTGTCGAATACGGGAAATAGACCACACACGCAATTTTCTTCAGAGGCTGCGCCGTATGGATGTCTTTGTCCTGGTGCATTGTTGAGAACTATAAAAACCTACTCTTATTCCATCATAAAAACTACCTCTAGAGGAAAAACGATAAGTATTGGAGGAGGACAGTGATTTTTCAGCTGTCATCCATCCTTCCCCAGGAGAAGAAGGACCAGAAATGTCCCAGCATCTGATTTCCAGCCACACATAGTCAGCACCTGCCAGGTTACAGGTCAGACAAGGGAAGAGATATCGCAGGCTGGGGGAAACATTTTGAAATACATTTTTTGGGAAATTTGTTATTTAAGACTATTGAACTTGCATTCACAAGGGTGAATCTTTAAGGCTTTTTTCAACGTTTTTGGAGGGAAGGAAAAACAAAAAATAATTGCTGGGACTCACAGGTTTTTGAAAATGGAAGATCCTTAAAGTTCACGTAGTCAAATCTTTCTGCTTAACTGTGATGAAATTCCGTAGTGAGGTTATGTCACAGAGCCAGCTGGCAATAGGGTCTACCCTAGAAGTCAGGTCTTCTACAGCTGGTGTGAGATAGTGAAAGGAAGGAATTTTTTTCAGCTGACTTTCCCTCTATCACAGTTAATCATAGCTGAGAACATCAGCCAAACCCTTACCTTCTCGAGACTTGGCACCCACTGTTCCTGTCATGGTGTGTTCCCTCCTCTCACTCTGATTTCTGCTCAGATTCCCTTTCTCAGAGCTGCCTTCCCTAACTACTCATATAAAATAGCCTCGTCGGAACTCTGTCATTTTTCCCTCATAGCATTACCACAATTTATTCATTTCTTTGTTATTGCGTATTGCTCACAATAGCTTCTAAGCTCCAGAGGGAACAGGGAAAGAAATCTTTGGTTGATGTACCATTATTTCTCTAGCACCTAAAATGCCTGGCACAGAGTAGGTGCTCAAGAAATACCTGTTGAATGAATCAGTGAATGAACCACCAAAGAATCAGTGAATAGACCAGATAGAAAAATCTTTATTATGGGATACAGTGTTGGTAGAGCAAAAAAGCATGATCATGTCTTTATACAACTTTGTATCCTTTTCCCTGTCTTAGTGATTGTCCAGATATTGACAAAATTTCTACATTTTCTAAAATCAGAATTCATACATGATTTCATCAGACTAAACGCTGCCCAAAATAAAAAGACATGAGTTCAAATCTAATGTTGAGTGGAAAATCAAATCAAGACTGGCTTAAAAACTAAGAACAGACCGTAAGATAGTATAAATTTTCTTTAGAGTGTTCTTAAGAGATAGTGACATGATGTCTTTATTGCTGTTGAATTACTGAGCAGAACGCTGAGATGATCATTGTTTTCTCTAGGAGTGGTTCTTTGTTTTTGCTTTGGCTTAGTTATTATTCAGGTGATTGTGTCTTAAAACAGTATGAAGGAGGGAGGCTTTTGTTCTTCATTTCTCCTCTTCCTGGTCAGGAATAAGCATGGTAAAGGTGTAAGGTTTGGAGTCTAGAGACACTTTACTAAGGTTCAGTATATTTTATTAACTTAGCCCAAAATGATATCAGCAGAATATTCTTGCCCAAATTCATGCTATTTCATAAAAAGCAATGAGTTGTTCTGAGTGTGAAGCTGTCACAGTTATGTCCATGTATATGCAAAAGCCAGTCCTTTCTGCTTCATAAAAAAAATTGTAAGCCTTTTCAATTCCTGAAGTCAGGGCTGTGGCACTTGGATATTGTAAGCTGCTTTACAGCACAGCAAGTAAAGAATATTTAAATGACTACGTTAAAATGTTACCACTTTGCCTGAAGAGGTTCCAGAACTTTTGAATAATGATAGTTAGCTCAGTTACTGAGCCCACTCCTGTGGTACCGTCACTCTACTTCCTAGATAAGGCATTCCAGATTTAAAGAAATCCTTGCCCAAGACCACTAAATAGTAAGGGGCAAACCTTGTGACTCATAAATGGAGGACTTTTCCAGAATGCCGTCTACCTGATTTTATGTTCCTTGCAAGAGTATCAATTCACTTGGCTTTCTGCTCATTATATTTCCTCCCAAAGACTTTTAAAGCATGATTAGTCTTTTCAAAATGATAGTGTAGGTCATTTTGGGTTGTGTGTTAAAGTATCATAGCCAATAACTCTTACCTAACCTACAGCAAAAAAAGATTACACCCTGACTCATATTCAGACAAAAGTCACTTGGAAAGTGTATTTAGTTTATGGAGGATATCCCTGAATGATTGCTTGAATATCAATAGAGTTGTTTGCAGGGACAAAAGCCCTATTCAGTGCTGATTAGCCTTAATCATTTCTAGAACTTTCCCATGTGCTATGTAGACGTTATGTAAATTTCACTAATCATATGGAGAGTCAGAATTTTAAAGTTTATGATTCATGAAATTCTCTGAATCTTGGCTCAGTATACATAAAATTTCAAGTGTGTTGGTTACATTATCTATATTTATAAATTTATCTTTCAGGCTGTTCCTTACTCCAGAGAATTTAAGCAGAAATATGACTACTTTAGGAAGAAATTAAAGAAACCTGTGAGTAACTCGTCTTCCAAAAATGCAGTTTTAGTTGTTTGTAAGTTACCAGTTAACTTCCGTGAGAACAGCTGGTTTGTTCCTTTTGTGTGTCTACTAAGATGTTACCTTCCTTTTTCCACTGCACTGTGATCCAGCTGGATCTTCAACCTGAATTTTCTTTTTAAGAGAAATGGTAAGTGAAGATAACTTAGTATTACATATGAAATCACCCAAAGGGTGATTTCATATGTAATACATAAAAAGATAGAGATGATTTTTATGGGATATAAAATAATTCAGGACCTAGTAAAAAAAAATCTGGAGAAGCCTATCAATTGCTTGTGGTTATCATATTTGATAAAACCTAAATACTTATTAGAAAAATGTTCAAATCCTTTCCTTTAAGTTGAAAAGTATAGTTTAATTATAAATATTAATATTTATAATGTAAATATATTTATAATATTTAATTATAATATTTGGTGTATTAAGACCAAGTGTAATTTTTGGATTAAAATTCTCACTGGGAAACCCTATCTGTACAATTTTTACGAAACTGAGAAACCCAAAAGGCTTTTTACAGGCAGTGTTTTAAAATTATGGTGTTATATTTCCTACTGACACATCTTCCCACATTCTTCAACATTATGTCTTCTGTTTTACTTTCTGATTTCACCTCTCCGGTGTAGGTTTTGCCTGTTTTCTCCTCACTTTGTGTGTTCCCTGTTGTTGCACCAGTCACCATTTCTTGGCTCCTTCTCATTGGGAAAGAGAGAGTATCGGCCACAACTCGGATCATCCCGGTTGGGCTGTGCTCCATCACCATCTCTCGCCGCTCCATTCCCTCAATCCATGCCTCATTTTCTGGGCATCTGCTATGGACAGGGTCCTGGGAATGCAAAGATGTGTGAGACATAGTCTCTGCCTCGGGGAGCTCCCACTTAGGGATTCCCTTCTCTCTCCCAACAGCCTGATTCAGGTAGCTCTTGGATAAACACTTTTGAAATGACTCAAATTTGAACACATGAAATTCCATAGTGTGTCCTTGTGAATCACTGTATTTCCCCCAGTAACAGGTGATGACTTTGTGGGTATCACCCTGTCTCGCTCGGAGGCGCTTTCACTGTGGTGTCCTCTGCCTGGAAACTGACTCTGCAAATCCATTTTCATAGCAAGTCTGCTGCTGGCCTCATTTTTCCAGGAAGCAGTTGCTCAACATTTTTTATTTTCATGTGTATAAACTGTGGCCTTGGGGATGCTTTCCCACAACTTGGCATCACTGTCAGGGTCCCACTCCCCATGGCAACACAAGTAGCTTGTAGGCATCATGGGTCACATCTACCAGCTGGAGTCCCTCCCAGAGTTGAGAATGCTCCCAGCCCGGCCAGGTGGGAGTTATTGATGGGTTTTGATTACAGGGACTCTGAAGTCCTTTTCTTGGACAGAAACAATAGAATTGACCATATTTCAGTTGCCAGAGGTTGGTAAATGCCCCATAGTTGTTTATAAAAGCGGGGGAAATGATCTCTTCTCCTCGAAGAGTTTCTTCTGCAGCATATGTCGCTGGCTCAGTCTGACAGCTGCTGGTGGATGCTCTTTGTGTCATCCTGACATAGCGAGGCTTTCTGTCTGCGTGAAGAGAAATCCCTGAAGGAGAGAATCTCAGTTGAGACCATTTGTCACTGCTTGTTTATTTGAAGATTACCGTCATTTCTACTCTTTGTTGTTTTTTCTTTTAGGGATTAAGGTGTATATTTACTGTATGCTTATGTGCTTCTTTTTTTCTTCTGTGTAGGCTGATATACCAAATAGATTTGAAATGAAACTTCACAGAAATAACATTTTCGAAGAGTCCTATCGGAGAATCATGTCAGTGAAAAGACCAGATGTCCTAAAAGCTCGACTGTGGATTGAATTTGAATCAGAGAAAGGTCTGGACTATGGGGGTGTGGCCAGAGAATGGTTCTTCCTACTGTCCAAAGAGATGTTCAACCCCTACTACGGTCTGTTCGAGTACTCTGCCACGTAAGTATGTGGAGTGTATTCAGAACGTGTTCCCCCACTGAAACGGTTTTATTCTTAATGAATTTAAAGTTAGTGAAAGAGTAAGCGACTCACTCATTTAAGATGAATTAACACTGCTGATTTTAGTCCCTACCTCCCACCCATAAGTCTAGAACAGGCTCTGACTCTATGTGGTGAAAGAATGCACTCTGTCAACACCTAAAAATGATTCTTCTCTTGTCTGTTGGGTTCATGTAATTGAAATTGAAAATGTGTTGGTACTTATGGTAAGGAACAAGAGGCAATTTTCATTTGTAACATGAAGTCAGGAGAATTTGTCAATGTTAGAATTCAGAAAGTCGTCATCATCTTATGAACAAGAATAGTTTCTAAAGTTATACTACTTAAAAGGAAATTATGAGAACTTGGAGGACCCATTCTTCAGGATCCAAAGGACCATGTCCTGGTCCTGTTAAGGGAAGAGCCAGATGCCCCCTTGCATTAGGATTTCATCATTGCCAAGGGTGGAAACTGAGGCAGATTCTATTGCTTTCTTGGGAATCAAACATTGGCTCCTTACGAGGTCAGCCATTCCTCTTCCAGGCTGTGGAGTCTCCAAAGGCTTAGGCTGGACATCAGGTCCCAGTAGAATCGTTGTTGACCTTGCTGAAAGGCACCTGTGCTCTAAGCGGACATGGATTCTCACACATCTTCCACCTGGTGCCAGTCTCCTCGGGGGTCATTTGGAAGGCAGCTTCAGTATCCTTCTCAATTGCTCTAGCCAAGAATTTCCTATTTTGTTTGTCGTCCTCGTTACCGAGTCCCATGAGAAAGCCTGCTATGTGAAATTGATAAGACCGTTAAAGCGGAGGGCAGGGTAGGGAGGCGAGGTCCTTACCTCTCAATTCCCCTCGAGGAATCTCCATGGGACCCGATTTGAAAACCACTGATCCTCAAGATTTTGAGACCAAAGAAGGATGATTAGGTACATGTAAACATTTTGAGGTTTGTGTGTTGAGAGAGCCATATCCTGCTACCAGTGCTCTTGGGGCCTTTCAGGCAGAGCAGTGGTCAGACCAAGGGTTGGGCCCACAGGAAAAATTTTAATCCCCAAACCGAAAGCCTCTCAAATGCATTAACCCTCTTCCTCACAGAGACAGCCTAAAGTACTCACGTCGTTGGGAATCCATGTGTAGTCCTTCTGTTACATGGGATTTCTCATCTTCCCCAGATATTTCGCTGAACCATATGAAATTAACATTTTTGTAGATCAAAAGTAGTCAAATATCAAGAGTTTGTTACGGTTTGACTTATAAAGGGTCTATGCACCAGCTCTCTTAGACCTCAGTCTTGATCACAAAGGTCTGGTCACTAAACAGCAGGCCACATTCTCTAACTTACGCCTTTTCCTGTCAGGTACAGAATGTTCGCAAGTGTGCTGTAAAAGTTTAGTGACTGGTGACAAATTTAGATTCTTGCATTTCTCATTTAAAAGTATGATTGGGCTTTTTCTTTCTTCCTCCCCAAAAGGGACAACTACACACTTCAGATCAATCCCAATTCAGGCCTCTGTAATGAAGATCATTTATCCTATTTCACTTTTATTGGAAGAGTTGCTGGTCTGGCAGTATTTCATGGGAAGCTTTTAGATGGTAAGTTATTAAAAAGTCTTGAAATACTAAAAATAGGACAGCGCTGTTTGTGGTTCCTTATTAGGTGTCTTATCTTTCACATCAAGATTTTAAGCAGAAGCTTCATTGGTTCTTTATAATTCAGTAAATTATGTTTATGTTTTGCCCATAATGGAGGTGCTTTTCCCTGGTGTCATCTTAATTTGAGTGCTGAAGACATAGGATCTACACACAGTTTAGAATTAAAAAAAAAAAAAATGTGTAAGCACAGAGCATTCTGTGTTTGTGCATTTTTCTGTGTTTTCCAGAATAACCTTTCTTTAGCGAGAGCTAGATTTGGTGACAGATGGAAAAGCTAATTGAAAAGTTAATTAAAATGGTCTAATCTGTCCAGTATCCTGCCATTGTTCCATTTGTCCCCAAATTAATATTTTTTTGAATGTCAAGAGACTGTAAATAATTTCAAATCAGTGTTGTAACTCAGCTAAGCCCTTGACCCTGGGATCACTGCTGAAACAGATGGTACAGAATAATCTCATTATTATTTAGAACATAGAAGTCACGGAATAATTTCGAGGTACCTTGGAAGTTAGAAGTCAAACCCCCTTCCTGGCTGTATCTATAGACTTATAATAGAGACTTCTTATGGATTTGGTCATTTCAAAAGTAGTGCCCTTAGGAGAACACTGCAGAAATCATCAGTGAGGAAAGAGAATCAGAAATATTTTTGAAGAATTGGGGGGTGAAATGGTTGAGGGTGGAAGACAGTAAGATTTGAGGTTGACACTGAAGTTACTGTAGAGAGAGATTTCCAGGGGAATTATGTTAATTGTGTTTATGGAACCTTAGCTATTCCAATAAATAATTGATGTACCCTCTGTACTTTTTCCTTTAATGTATTTTTACTGGTAATTGCTAGCTGATTTTGATCCTGTGATTTCAATATTTTATATTTGGTAGAGGAAGTAAACACTTTTTTCTGATTAGAAGGAAACTGCACTCGCTCTTTCTATATATGTATAGAGTGTGAATATATTTTAATTTGCAACATTGGAATCATGCCATAGATTATTTCAGGCTGTTTAAATTTACTTCAACCCTCTTAGAAGGTCAGTTTATTTACCTTCTGCCAAGTGAGAAGCCATTCGTAGTTGCTGTGGGGAAACACAGAGAAGTATAAGAGAGGATCCTGATCTCAATAAACTTGTATTCTAGTGGGGAAAAAAACAGAAGAATCACAGTGATAGAGTCCAAGCAGAAGGGAGCACGTGGAGTGGTTAGACGAGAAACTGATTTGGATGGAGGGTCGGGGCGGCTTTACCAGGCTTAGCCACACCTGGAGGGTGGGGTAGGATTTGAGCATTTAGAAGCTGGGATCATTTCAGAAAAGCAAGGACTGGCCTTGTCAAGGCTCCATGGAGGGAGTAATGGAGAGAAGCAGGAACAAATGGGGGAGTCTAGGAGACTGCTGCAAAAGGTGGTATTGATGTACATCAGGAATTACCCACAGATATGTGTGGTCAGTAGCGTCTTCAATTTCTTAAAAATGTGGATGCTCCTGGAAGCACAGCGTACACACTGCACATCGGCCCACTTTTATTGGCGTCATCCTTTTTCCCTCCCTAGACATGGAAGGCATTTGAGCCTGCGGCCTTAGGGCCACACTGAGCCAGTGGGAGTGGGAATATGGTGCAGAGGATTGGTGGCTGATTAGATCCTGGAGGGGGTGAGGGTGGAGGAGGAGGAGAAGGGCTGAGCCTGGGGTCCCAGTGCCTCATGTGAGGAGGCATGTGATGCAGACTCGCCTTTGGACTCGCCTGCGGGACACCCGTGTGGTGGTGGAGTCGTCCTCACAGCCACTGCCTCACTCAGGCCTTCATCACCCCTGCCCTGGAAGACTGCACAGCCTTCTCAGTGCTATCCCTCAGTTCCATCTTGTCCCTTTCCTGTTTTTTCTCCCCATCACTACCTAAGCAGTGATACTGAAATGCAGGTGAAATTTGCATTAACCCCCTCCCCCAAACCAGGCCCTCGGCCACTTGATAGAGATTACTATAGAAGGTCTTTAATTGTTCTTTTCTGGTCCCTCACACAGATTGAAGGCAGGTTAATCTTTTATTTCATTTCTGATGCACAGCAATAATCAAAGATTTTAAACTAACCCAGTTTTCACCATATTTTAGGTTTCTTCATTAGACCATTTTACAAAATGATGTTGGGAAAACAGATAACTCTGAATGACATGGAATCCGTGGTGAGTAAACACAGATCACTCCCATGGGCATCTTACAGAAAGGTCACTGAGACCATGTTGTAATCACAGAGATTTTTGTGGGTGTTATAATTCAATATGAACAACGGGGAACGTTTAATTGTTCAAGAAGTTAATTGATCTCTCTAGTCTTTCTAATAAGAAAATCATTGTTCACATTTCCTAGAGTCATGGTACTTGGGATGGATACACCCAGATCTCAGTTCCCTCTGCGTACCCAGGACTCGTTTGACCAAATTAAATCCAAAGCTCATCTGGAGACCTTATTGCAGCTCTTGTTTTCCACATAAAACAGCTAATGCTGAATGTTTAGAAATTCATCTGCTGTCCCTCTGTTTTCTGACCTCAAGAAATGGCAGGGGCACAGGCCAAAACAGTAGATAAAGGGAAGAGTATTGGCAGTCGTCATAGACACAGGAGAGTAAGCGACTACTACAATATAGGAGAGGATGAAACGAGTTAGAAAAGGGATGCTGTGAGAAGTTCTCTGAAAAATGGTATGGGTTTTCATGTTTCATTTAACTTACACATTTTGTCCAAGCTGACCATTTCAGAGTTGAAAGGATTTTTTATAAAAACAAAAATTGACACTCTTTTCATAATATACTTTTTGCTTCTGTTTTTCTTTTAATTGACCTGCACCCCCACCATCCACCTCCGAGGGTGTAGGTATTTGCCCAAGTGCCAGCACGCTCACCGGGAAGCATCATTGTCCATTTGGGGTATTTGCAGCTCTGTTTTCACGTTCTGTCGCTTGGGTCAAAAAGCATCTGCGTACTCTTGGCCTTGCTGTGATGGTGACTGTGTCTCGTGTAGTTTGGTAGATGAGCCATATTCTCGTTACTTACCAGCATTGCTCGCTGGTTCTGCTCATCATCTTTGTGCGAAAGCAGAGGAGAGCGCTAGCAGTGCACTCAGATCCACTCAGCTGGTTCTTCCATGGTTGGATTGCTCGGCATATCCACAGTACCAGTCTCAAATATCTTTTCAGCTTTCCCCTTTATCTTATGCTTTATGCTTGTATTACTATATAATGAGGAAGCTAGGAACATGAAAATTTCTCTTAAAGTCTAAGTTAATTTTATACCTCATCTGGACAGTTGGTGCACACATTCTGCTTTGCCTTCTCCGAGCCTGTTAGGTCCCCAGCGTTAGCGCCCCTGGGCCTGCCCTGAGAGAGAGGAGCCCAGGCCCTGTGGCTTGTGTTCTGAGTTCCGACACCAGAGCAGCCTTCCTGTTTGCCTACGGTGATGTGCAGAGAGCCCTGGAAGCACAGGCAAGGGTGTAACTTAAAACCCTTGGTATTTAGTGAGAACGTTTTCTATCCCCTATTTATCTGGTATTTTCACTCTCAAAAGATGGGAAGTATATTAATCTCTACATGTTCGGTTATATAATTTCATGGCCACCATCCAGAGCGGATTGCTTCCTCTGCACTTTACAGAGGACAGGATTTAACTACAAACCCCTGTTACTACCAAAACGTTGTTTTGGTTGTATTTTAAATTAAAGGGGGAGAGTAGGTTTGGGATAGAGCAGGAAGCAGTCTATTAGTGACTAGTGTAATTCTAGAGCATTCTGAATGGAATTACATTAGAAGGACTTAATTATTTAAAGAAATCAGACGGTGGGCCGGCCCCGTGGCTTAGCGGTTAAGTGCGTGAGCTCTGCTGCTGGCAGCCTGGGTTCGGATCCCGGGCACGCACCCACGCACCGCTCCTCCAGCCGTGCTGAGGCCACGTCCCACATACAGCAACTAGAAGGATGTGCAACTATGACATACAACTATCTACTGGGGCTTTGGGGGTAAAAAAAAAGGAGGAAGATGGGCAATAGATGTTAGCTCAGAGCCGGTCTTCCTCAGCAAAAAGAGGAGGATTAGCATGGATGTTAGCTCAGGGCTGATCTTCCTCACAAAAAATAAATAAATAAAAATAAAAAAAAAATAAATAAATAAAGAAGTCAGACGAGTTTGTATTTTGGGAAAGATTGCTTAATTTTAACTTCTCTGTCATTTCTGCAGGATAGTGAATATTACAACTCTTTGAAATGGATCTTAGAAAATGATCCTACTGAACTGGACCTCATGTTCTGTATTGATGAAGAAAACTTTGGACAGGTATGTGTGGGTAACCTCGGGAGCTTCTGTTTGACTTCCAAAGAGTTGTTGTTTCTTCACAGGCTGTTAACACAACTTTGCTGGACAATTCACCACCACCAGCCTCTTTAGATGTGAATTATCATCTCAGTGTATCAGCACATTATTGTCATGCCAGGAAGCTGAGTCTCAGTTAGAACCCCTTCTCTCTTCTGCAAAGTTACAGAAATTCTAAGGCGCCTGGGGTGTAAAGTAGGACTCACTTTTAATCTAAAGCAAATCTGAACATGAATGTTTGTATCTTGGTTTTAGAATTTAGATACTTCAAAAAATAGCGTGTTGGGGCCGGCCCCGTGGCGTAGCGGTTAAGTGCCCGTGCTTCGCTGCTGGCAGCCCGGATTCGGATCCCGGACATGCGCCGAGGCACCACTTGTCAAGCCATGCTGTGGCAGCGTCCCATATAAAGTAGAGGAAGATGGGCATGGATGTTAGCCCAGGGCCAGTCTTCTTCAGCAAAAAGAGGAGGATTGGCATGGATGTTAGCTCAGTCAGAGCTGATCTTCCTCACACAAAACAAAAAATAATAGTGTTTTTACTTGGCATTGTAAATACAGGACCAGGAGTAGGTGATGTTTGGGGGCCCTTGGGTTTTTCTCTCTGTTTAATGGTTCTGTTGTGATGAAATTGGTCTTGGGTTTTTCTAACATTCTAATATTTCTTTTTGCTTTGCATCCACACTGTCATCAAGACTGGATTAATCATAAAGGTCAATTTCAAAGATAAATTTGCCTGCTTGGAATTTTCTTCATCATTCTAACGTTCCATAGGATGTGTTTGTCTTAAACCTGAAACCTTTGGTTGATTTGTCTCCCGGTGAGAACAGTGCTTCTTAGGTGGTCTCAAAGTATTATCTGAACAAGCTGATGGCACTAGATGTAAAGGAATTAATGACAACTGGGAACAAACAGTGTTGAACAAGAAAGTGAGCACATAGGTATCAAAATTACTTGTTACATATGCTCGAGCCAGGAAACAGTCACCAGTGTGAGTCCTGGGAGTGGGTGGGACTTGGGGAATCTCTGTTTTCCTTCCTGGTTGGTTGGGTGTAAGGTTCATAGAACTGCAGGCACCGGGGATGAGAGAGGCCTCATGACTTAATGTAAATGATCAGTGAGTCCATTAAAAATCTCATTTTGCCCCTCCCCCATTTTTCTTTTTACTCCCTATTGTGCTTCATGCCTAAAAATCCCTCATTGGGGCACTGTTCTCCTGTGTAGGAGTCTTGTCGTGAGCTAGGGGAGGGACATCTTTTCTGCAGCCCCTCCCCCCAGGGCGGTACCCGGCCTCCCCAAGACTAAGTGCACCCGCTGTTTTCCAGTCCTTGTCTGCTGCCTTCCTCTGCTGTGTTGGATCCTGACTGCTCACCCCCCCCTGAAACGCCTGTGAGTCACGATGTCCTGCACTCTTCCTTCCTTCTTCCACGGCTCTTGCCACTTTATTTTCTGTCTCCTTGAAGGACTGCTGCTTCTGGCCCCGCGATGCAGCTGTTCCTCAGCCATCCATCCTCTGCCTGCTTCTTTTCTCGTCCCGCCCGCACTACCTGGATGGCCTCATCCACACCTGTGGCTCCAACTACAGCCGTCTTCGTGCTCTTCACCACCAGCCTCTTATCTCCAGTCCACGCCTTTCTTCCACCCTCCAGATTGCCCCTGGTTTGACCGTCTCCTCAACCGCTTCTCCTGAAGGGCCCATAGGTCCCTGAAGTAAAGCCATTTCCTCCTCCTCAACCCTCACCTCTGCTCTGGTCTATTCAGTGGCACCACCATTCCTTCCAGCCTGAACTTTGGGAGTCATCTTTGAATCTTCCCTCTTTCTCCTCATGTCCAGACTCAACGTGTTCAGCTGGTCACCATATCCTCTTGAGTCAATCTCATTATTTCCTCATCTGTACCCTTCCCTCGTTCAGGCTCTGCTGATTTCTTGCCTGTGTCATTCTAAGGGTCTCTCTGGTTCCTATTTTGCCCCTCCCTCCGGTCCATTCTCTGATGCCCCACATGTATGCTCCGTATGTAATAGTTCTGAAAAGCAAACCTGAACATGTAATTCTTCTGTTTAAACAAAAATTCTTCATTGGCCTTCTTATAACTTTCAGTGTCAGTTAAAACCTTTTTAGCATGGCTTATGACCCAACCTGCCCACCACTGACTGGCCTTATCTTTACATGCCTCCGTGCCGTGTTACTGGCTGTGAGTGCCCTCTCCATGTCTACACATTCTCATTCTCTCTCCCACAGCCTCTTCTCATACTGTCCTCTAATCCTTGACCGACTGACTGTCTCCTCCAAGCCCCTTGAGGTCCCCTTGGCATCTCCAGTGCTCAGCATGTAGCTGACGCTTACTAAATGCTTACTGAGCAAATGAATGAATAGTGCTAACCTAGTTTTTTAAAATGTTAATAATGTTAAGAGTAATAGAAACTCCAAGTGTGAGAAAACAAAATAATTTGAATTGCAATGACTTATTTTTTTAAGCTGGATCTACTTAAGGGTCTTAACTGCCAGCTTTCAAAGGGTAACACATGGACGGTCGTCCCGGAACTATGTCTTCCTCTCATTTTTAACACACGAGGGAGTAGAAATAAAGAACCAAGGAAGATGTAAAATCAATCCTGTGTGTCAAATGCCAAAAAAAGGTCTCTTTCTGTATCCACTTATAGAAAACCATATGACTAACTTAAATAACACAGCTCAGAAGACATTATTAGTGCCAAAGTTAGAGGCAGATGATCTGGGAAATCTTCCTTAGTTGCAATTAAATGTAACTATTGCCACCTAATAAATGAAATCCTAACACAAGATGTTTGGATTTTTAAGTAGACTTCTAATAAAGATTCTGATTATCATTATAGTTCGTGTCAATTATTCATTTAAAACAGTTCTCAAACCTCCTCATTTAATGCTGGGGATTCGTCTGACTTTTGGATTGTATCAGGTAGAGTAATGGAATAATCAGAACAGACCCACGAGATGAGTAAGATAATGATTAGGTGCCTTTGTTAAATCACTGCCTTCCTTTTTAGAGAGCTAACCTCATTAACGGGGAGCTAATGTATCTATTTTGCATTCTGGGAAGAGATTTGGAGTGAATTAAGCAGCCACATATTGATGATCTCATCTCCCATATCCAAGCCATTGCCGAGCTGTGTTCATTTTAACTCAGAAATGTTTCTCAAATCTGTCTGTTCCACCACAAACACCCAAGTCTAAGCTACCATCTTCTCTCGTAGACTCTTTAACATGTCTCTCTGTATCTGCCTTGGCCTCATATAATGGCACAGTGGTCTGTTCGGAACGTAAAAACAATCATGTCATTCCCCTGCCAGAAACATTCAGAGACTTCCCGCTGCCCTCGATAAAGACCCAAATCCTTAATTTGCCCCTTGAGGGTCCTGCATGGCCTGGCCCCACCTGCTCCATCTCCAGATGCATTTTGCATCACAGAGCTGCCCCTACTGCTTTCTGGATCTGGTGCCACTAGACTTCTTGAACACACCAAGCTCCTTCCTGCCTCAGGACCTTTGCTCATGTTGTTCCTTCTGTTGGAAACACCGTTCCACCCTCAGTTCAGATGCCCCTTGCTCAAGGAAGCTATCCCCGACCACAGACCATGGTACTTCAGAGGATCTCCCATGTCTCTCTGCGGCATGTACTGTGGATGACTTTGCATTTATGTGTATGATTGTGTGTTGAGCATCTGTCGCTCCCACCAGGCTCAGTCTTGGTGATGGCAGCGCTGGGTCTCCCTGGCTCACTATTGTGCACTCACCACTGGGCACAGTGCTCGGTACAGAGTAGGCTCTCAGAGTTGTTGAACCAAAAAGGTGGGCATCAACCAGCTGCCTAGGCAGGCCTCTCCCCTTTTTCAGCCTCTGCAAAACCGTGACTGTGCGTCGCGGTTTATTCTAACCCGAGAGGAAGCCCACGCCTCCCTTAAAGACAACAGTCATGTCTTCAGTGGAGAGAAGTTACCACAGAAGTGAAGTGTACATGCAGTCAACCTTCTTCGGTGCTTTGAGCTGGGTTTTTTTTTTCATTCCACAATGAGAAATATCAGACCTTGAAGTTGGGGGTAGCTGTCTCTTCGTGTAGTGAAACTGCAGCTGTTGCATTATTTTGTGGTTTGTTTTCTTTCTGGTTGGTGAGAATCTGGAGCTGCTGGTTTCTGGGGCCTACTATGAATGCTTCAGCTAAACAAATTTCAACATTTGAACAAGCGTAATATGCCAAGCAGAAAGAATAAACTGCACACCCCACCAGGAGGAGGCGCCCTTTCAGAGCTATAATAAGTAGAGATTCTTTATTGCAAGTTCAGCAAAGCAGCCTCTGACTTGGTTAGTTTGAGAGGTGCTAGAAGTGTGGGCTTTTAAGGAGCTGTGCAGTAGAGAGGGGAAGAGGACAGGCAGCAGCTGTGCAGGAAGATTCTTCAGGACCAGGCTTGAGTTCAGTTAAGGCTACATTCTCAACCAGGATCCTAGCACCCAAGGGGCAAAAATTGGTTCTTGGGGGACAAAAAAGTCTCAGCCATTGCCATGGCTTTGAACCCTTCAGAGGGCCACAGTATGTACCACAGGTGTACCATGGATCCATTTGTTAAGATTTCACGGGAGGAAAGGGGCAATTGAGGGAGGAATAAAAAAGGCTCTTCAGTGGGTGTTAATGAAAAAAAGGCTGAGAAACACAGGGTTGGGGAAAGGGAATGAGTGAAAGGCAGAGAGTGGAAATAGGGGGAGAAAGAGGTGAAAGGCAGAGTGAGGTCCTAGTGGAAGCTGGAAAGAACCAGACCAAGAGCCTGTTGTGGAGGTGGCTTCCGGAAGGGTGGAGGTCCTCGCTCTTCAAAGACCAAGTCAAGGAAATCAGCAGGTGGCAACTGCAGGAAGCGTGAAGGTAGAGAGGTGGGTTGACTCGGATACCTCAGTACTCTTAGTACCATAGCTAGAGGCTGGGGAGGATGAAGAGGCGCACCCCACAGGGTCTGTAGAGCGCCTGTCCTGTCCGCGGGCAGGTGTCTGTCCAGCAGTGCTCAGCGCCCAAGAATGGGGTAAGAAGCAGCCAGCCTTTGTCTGCCCCAGTCGCGGATACTGGATATGATCCAAACAGTTTCTCAGCAGACTCCTCAGACGTTTGCCATAGGCGTCTTTGAAAAATCAGGGTGTGTGTGTGAATCCAAAGTTGTAACTTGCCAAGGAAGAGGGTTCTAGTTCTGTGAGAGCACGTCCCCTCAGAGGTTCATCTGCTCTGTATGGTCTTTATGAAGAAGAAAGAGGCCAGTAGACTTAAAGAAATAGAAAGTTTCTTCCACAAGCGCTTCCTGAGCGTCTCCTGTGTGCCAGGCACTGTGTTAGTGTTTGTTTTGGGTCTTTAAGGAGTTCAGACACAAGACAGCAATGACGCTGGCCTGGGAAGCCAGTGTGAGGACGGGAGTGTGTGTTAAGTGTGGTGGAGAAAGGGTGGGGGTGGCAGGAAGCCGCCCAGAGAGGAGGTGGGGAAGGATTTGCTCCCAGGGAGCAGCATGTGGGTTCTAGCCCTGGCCCCACCTACAGTTTCCTGTGTATCCTCTGTGGAAGCGGTCCACCTCCCTGGGCCTCCCCTTCCTCCTCTGTGGTGTGGTTAGTGCGAGAGCACAGCCCCGTCACATCACTTCCCGTCCCGAGTGGGAGTGGAGGGTTAGGATGCACCCTCTGTTTGACTTGCGCTCCCCAGTGGACAACCCGGCTGCGCTGACGGCCCCCGGGACCTCAGCGGCGCCTGCAGCAGATGTGAGCACGTTAGTCCTCCCCCTCCTGGGGCAGTGATGTCTGCAATTAGGAAGTGTGGAGTGTGGGGAAAAACACACAACAAGGCTGTGGTTAGATGTGTATGGGCAGAGGTGGAGGTCGGCCAGAGAACTATGTGCGTGAGGAGTCGAGCTGATCGCGTTATAAGCGAGTGGGCCTTATAGTCGGACGAACTTGACCTTGAAACCCAGCTCTCTCCGCTTCCTGCTGAACCCCCCTCTCAGGGAGAAAACAGAGGCGATGGCACCTACCTACCAGGGACAGTTCAGTGATTTCCCTGTGACGAGGCTGACACAGCTCCTGGACCACAGGAAGCAGTCTGCAGTCTAGCCCCTGGCGGCGAGTTTAAAAAGTGGGATTTGAACAGCAGCCATCACTGCCCACTGAAGTGTTATCTGCGAGGCCCCAGCAGGATGGAGGTTCAACACCACAGAAAGCTTGAACTGAGGCCCCCAGTGCCAGGCTCGGAGGATTTACCCCTAACCTAGTGGCTTGGGATACAGACCTGAAAACCATCCTTCCCTGCCTGTCTTTGAGCCCTCGGTCGCTTCCTCCCGGAGAAACCCACGGTCACAATCAAGCATAAAACGGGCCAGCTGCCCACAGACTGACTGCTTGACCCCCTTACTTGGCATGGATAGTATGGTCCCTTTCTTTTTTTTCCTTTCAGAAACAATTTTATTAGTTTATCTGATTATAAAATATTAATCTTTGTAATAAAAATGAAACCAGTACAATAAAAATCACCCATAGTTCCTACCACCTAGAGAAGAAAAATCACCGTTAAAATTTTGATTTATATTTTCCTGAATAATTCTCTGTAAACAGAGGCAGATATGGTTTTTTGTGTTTTTTTTTTACAGAAATGGAATTGTACAATGCGTACAGTTTTAACTTAATATATCCTAGATCCCTTTCCATGTCAGTAAGTATTGACGTATACCGTTGTAACGGCTACACTGAATTCCATTTCGTAGGCCATACATTTCTTAACTGTGCCCTGTTGGTTAGCATCTCGGCCATTTCAGTACTTCACTATACAAACAATACAATGATTATAATCCTGGAACATATATTTTCTACACTTGACCAATTATTTTCCCTTGGTATAAATTCTAAAAGAGAAACTATTATGAAAAGGAACATGCACATTGAAATTGTGATGGCTGTTGCCAAATTATCTTCCAAAGAGATTGAACCCATTAGACTGCCACCAGGGGTGTGGGTAAGATCCGTTCCTCCGCACTCAGCCACGCTGGCTGATTTTGCTCTTTTTCATCACTAGGTGCTGCTTCTGGAGGCAGCAGCGGTGTTTTCTCCTTGCCCTCCCCACCCCACCTCGTCTGTGGTTGACTGTCTCATTGGGTAGCTCCCTGGAAGTTGCAGGTCCCCTAGTGCAGCTGCGCTGGACTGAGGGCGTCTCAGTACCAAGAACTGGGCTTGGGTTTATTAACCTGTAGTTTGGTGTGGATCTGGTAGAAAAATTCCATTACTGAAGGGAACAGCAAAACAGTCTTTGAGGAAGAATAAATGGGAAAAACAAAGAGAAACCATCATGGGCTTATTAAACACTGGAAAAGTAGGGGCCGGCCCCGTGGCTTAGCGGTTAAGTGCGTGTGCTCCGCTGCTGGCGGCCGGGGTTCGGATCCCGGGCGCGCACCAACGCACCGCTTCTCCGGCCATGCTGAGGCTGCATCCCACATACAGCAACTAGAAGGATGTGCAACTATGACGTACAACTATCTACTGGGGCTTTGGGGAGAAAAAGGGGGAAGAAAAAAAACCTACAAAAGTATAAATGAATACTGTCCACAAACCTCCAAATAACTAGCCATGAACTGAAAACATTTTACTATAAGAAACACCCCCGCCCCCACCCTAAGCGAAACTGCTCAACGTCCTCAAGAATCTCCGTGGCCTGTGTGGGACAGGAGCAGATGACCTCAGGGAAAACTGAAAGGGCTGGGAAGATAGCAGTGGAAAGGGGGAAGGTGGACACAAGGGAGGATTTGAAGAAAACTGAAGATACGGAAACAATTAAAATCCCTATTGGGGCCAGTAAAGAGTTGACTTGACACTGTAGAAATGAGTTCAGTCATGTGGTAGAAGATACTGGATTCCTTCCCAAATAAAGAAGGAAATGCAGAGGGACAAGAGAGGTGGTCAGCGTGTTGTGTTTGAAAACGCTGTCTCCGCGTGAATAGGAACAATAAGTGTGTGACCAAAAAGAACATTTGGAGATCAGCAAAATCGAAGCGTTCAGCTCAGAGAGGCTCAGTCTGTCCCTGGGTACGTAGCAGGGGTGGTGAGCAGTCACTGACGTGGACCTCTGCCAAAGCAGGAGATTTCATTACAGATTCAAATCTGGATCCCTCATGATGGATGTAACCCAGAAACTTATTCTGGAACACCCTCTCCCTCAGGCTTGGCTTACTCTCAGATATAGCCAAGTATGCATAGAAAAAAAGACAGAAAGGAATCCTACCAAAATATTGATGTGTGATTATCCTCAAGTAGGAGAGTTGTGAGTGGTATTTTTTCCTTTTTTTTTTTTCCCCTAAATTTCTATGAGAACGAGCATTTTATTCATAAAACGATCAACCTCTCTGTCCCTTCCCTTCGGCTAGTCATTGCTTTATACACTCTGATATTAAGCCACGGCTGGTGCAGAGCATCGGAGGAGGCCAGGCATTGATCTCAGCTGCTTTGTTCTTTGCAATGCTGGGTGGCTCTCGGGAGGGAGCTGTGGGGGGATGAGCGGGGAGAAGGTGTCTGGCACACAAAAGCCTGGGGTTCTCAGGATGGTAGGTAAACCCGTCCCTTCAGCCTCGCTTCTTACGCTTTCTTTTTTTTTAAGTCCCTGTGCTTTGTCTCTTTGAAAGAAATTCCACCTGTCTTTTTTTTATGACTATAAAATCTAATTTTCAGAAACAAAATGCATTAGAATTTGGATCTCTGTAGTCTTGATGGAGGTACCCTGCCTTTTCTGTTAAACATAATTAATTTCTTACTAGATGAATAGCAGATGAAAAAATGTTGCTTTTCTCCATTGTTGCTAATGTATGAAGGATAATTAAAACTCATAAATAACCATAAAATAATTTGCCTTTAATGATAACATCTTTAAATGTGTAACATCTTAGCAATTTAAAAGCCTCATTAGGCATTCTCTTGTACACAGAGCCCATTTGCTGGGAAATAATCCTGAATAAATTTTGCTTATCTTCCTTTTATAGTAAGACATTATTGCTCAGTAATCATATGCAAAATAACTTCATGATGGTGATTATTGGCTTATATTTGTAATTACAGACATATCAAGTGGATCTGAAGCCCAACGGGTCAGAAATAATGGTAACAAATGAAAACAAAAGGGAATATATCGAGTACGTATACACATATTTACAACCTTTGCTTTTATTAAATTGAACAGCATATTTGGTTGAAGTCACTTGCCAAAATACCTCATGTATGTTATGAACGTATTTGCAACAATATGAGTTCCTTTCTGGTTTCGACTAATAGGAAGCTGAATTATGGGATGCCAAGTTTGACTTGTATCATGACTTCAGTGAGCTGCCATATAAAGGAGCAGAGTTAGGAGAAAAAGGTGTACTTTATTGAGTAATATGGCAAATACTCTTTTGGGGTATGTGGATATCTAGTCTGCAATTGAGAATTACAATGAGGGAGCACAGTGTCAACGACCAGTAGGGTAAAATTGGGAACAACCAAATATAAAATATTTCATCTCTCTCCTGACTTCTTTTCCATAATTAAAATGTAAGAAAATAGTTTAAGTGGATAGGAAAATTCAGCATATGCGTATGCAAAACATAATGAATTATTTCTGATATTTGTAATTTTTCTTAACCCAATCTCAGCCTCAGTTGGTGGAACAAAATATTTAGTCCTTTTTCCAAAGGTCCAACTGTTTAAGTAATTCTAGGGCATTTATAGTAGGCAGAAGGTCTTTCTCCATTGGACACATTACGTTTTCCTCTTTGGTGTATGTACGTATATATGTGTGTGTATATACATATATATGCTTCAAACACACATTTCTGGGCTCTTCCAAAGATTGCCAGGTTGCCCTCACCAGCCCTGGCACAGGGATGAGGTCAGTGCAGCCGTATTTGGTTCCTAGGTCCTAGTTTCTGCTCATCTGCTAGGTTACAGCAGTGGCCTGAGCTCTGTGTTGGCATTTAGTGCTCCATTTCAATGAGCTGAGTTCCCTTCTCTGTTCTCAACATAACTGGCCAGAGAGCTTGAGTTCAGAGAATTCACTGAGGTTCTTGACATCTTTTACTGTAATCTGCAAAGAAAAACCTACTGTCCTTTCTAATTAGGAAGAAATAGAGAGTGTTGGAGTCGCTACTTAAAGATCCTGACGAGGCATGCACTATTACCTAACAGACTTCTCCTCTCACAAGTTAAAAGCTTGCTACACTTAATAAAAAACAAGAGTAAGATACTACAGTTCTTACCTGTTCACGTTAATTGGCACGCTTGTTCTGATCTCGGACAGTCTCAGCAAGCAAGACAGCACCCTGACAGACACCATTGTCTTCATTCGGAAAGTACAGACTTTGAATAGATTTTTAAAAACAGTGCACCCCAGGGTGCCTAGGGTCAGAAGTCTGAGGGTTTGGACGCTGTGATACGTGTTGTACATCATTCTTTGCAGTTAATTCTTTTAAGTTTCAGATTTGGTGGGGAGTGGGGTTGGGCAGGGTTTCAGCTAGCTTCCCTGAAAAAAGGGTGATTGAAATCTTCAGCTGCTCCCTGACACATGTATTCCCCGGGTGCCAGAAGAAGGCTGTGGGGCTGATGATTGCAGCACAGCGCAGTGAAGCCTGATACGTCTGAGCAATGGCTGTGCCGTGGCTATACAGCGGGACTGGTCCTCGAGGGCCGTTGCCATGGTTGCCACCTCACGGGTGAGAGCCCTTTATGACAAGGTCCTCATGCTGTTTCACGACAAAATGCCTCAGATGGAATCCAAAGTGGATTCGCCTGGCAGTAAATTTTGCTGCACACTAAACATTGGCACAGAGGAAATAGTTTCAGTGGATTTCTGTTACTTAAAGAGGTCTTACCATTAATGCTTCAAATTTTGTTATTAAAGTATTAGAGTAAATCATTTTGCTGGTAAATTATGTGTCATTGAAAATCGGTACATTGGATACTAGAATGAAATATGACAATGTTATCCTGGGTACTCCCTTTAAAAATATATGTACATATTTGTACATATATGTGGGTGTATACATGTGGGTTTATGTGTGTCTACCCATGTTATGCACACAGGCATGTATTCACACTGTGTGATCTTTTCCCTTTCTCCATGTAGTCACATTTATAAAGCAACTTTGATAAATTAAGTCTTGATGTGGGGGAAAAAAAGAAGTAAACTATTCTTTTGAAATTCTGAGTGAGATTTTAGGTTTTTCACATATATTCCATTTACTCTCAAAAGAACGAATGAATAAACAGTGCCCCATAGCACCAGCCTGTCCCTTTTCCTTTGCCGGTGTGGGGCTTTCTCTCTGTTCCCCTGCCTGATGGGAAGCAATCGCAGTTGTGAAGAAATGAGCGCTAGTGATTATGAAGGTGGTTAAATTCTGTCCCATCTTCTCCCGCAGTTTAGTCATCCAGTGGAGGTTTGTGAACAGGGTGCAGAAGCAAATGAACGCCTTCTTGGAGGTAAGCTCTGCTCACTGGGGCTCTCTGCCTGCGCCATTAGTCACCAGCTAAGAGGGTGGCCTTCCTCCTCGGGGTGGGTTGGGGGACGTGATCACACACGAGAGACGGTGTGGGAGTAGGGCACGGCGGGAAGGTCAGGACCGCAGAGCTCACACCGCTGAGCAGTCTCCAGGGCAGAAGTGTCGGCCGCTGCACTGCCATCCTTCTGTTCTTTGTTTTCTTTTGTCCGGTGTTCTCTTGCTTTGCTTCTCTTATTTTTTAATTTTCCATAAATTTTTTTAAAGAGAATTTTTTACAGACTTGATCTGGAGGGCCAGGTTTCCCCACAGAGGCTAGTCCCACTGTCTCAGGCTTTCAGGCGGTACCCAAGGGAAGGCTGGAGGCACATCTCGCCACCTTTTGCTGCGGTGACAGGTTGTAAGAAATGTGAGCACTCGGGCTGGACAGTATAAAAGGCAGTTTCCAGTCATGCCATCCCTCCCTGGTAACAATGCCTTCCCTTTCCGGCATTGTTCTCACCCCCTGCCCTTCCTTCGTGGCTCTTAATAGTTCCTCACAGACTTCTCTCCCATACAGGTACAGGTAAAACACATTTTCATAAGCTGGGTTTTTATCCTATACCACGCCACCTTGTGCCGACTTTAACCCTATTAAAGAATGGAACGGGCACTTCTCAGGTCCAAGTATTGAATGTCAATGATGATCCCAGGCCCCTTATGAGAGGCCCTTAATGAAGGGCCGGGAGATTCATCATTTTAATAAATGGTTCACTTTGACCCAAACTGAAATTCCTTTTTAAATTTTGATAATGGGTTTAATTACTTGAAAGAGAACATAGGAACCAGCCCCAAGTGCACATTATAAATTTCCACTGAACTGATGCGGAGTTCCCATTGGGCAGTGCTCTGTTAAGCTTACCCTAGCTCATCACCTCCACGTGGTGCATAGAGCCCCAGCCCGAGCAGAGCACTCCAAAAAATTCAGGGACTCGGCAGAAAATGTAAGTTAGGACACACTTGAGAACAGCAGGTTTCGTACTTTATTCACTTAAGAAACCCAGGAAGCAGATCTGGGCCCTGCCCCAGATGAGCAGACTTGCAGAAACCCAGCCACATGCCAGGCCCAGCGGCAGAGTCTCGTCCTAGATCACTCCACTAGTTCGTGATAACCTGGGAACTAGAGCAGGTTTTCTGGACTCCTGATCTCTTCTATGCTGGATCACACTGCCTCCTTCTGTATTTCACCTGTGTGCCTTCTGTACCTTATTTTTAAATGCATCCCCTTGCACATCTGTGCCGGTACATTTTAGGACACAGTGGCGCACAGCAGTGTGTATGTCATAAATGGCTTTTGGAATCCGCCTGCCCACAGTAATCCATATTTTCATAGGGTTTCAAACATTACTCAGGTACCTGCACATTCTAGATGCTACTATTTTTCAAAATTTTTATATTGACTATGCTGTTTTTATTGGAACTACAATTACGGGATACTGTCACTGATAATATAAATCATCAGTAAAGAATGTATTTTTCCTGACTAACCAAAAAAAGTTTGTTTCTACTGTAAAATGTGTCTCTTTCAAGGAAAAAGGTTTTGAGGGTGATTTTTTTTTTTCTTTCAGGGATTCACAGAACTGCTTCCTATTGATTTGATTAAAATTTTTGATGAAAATGAGCTGGAGGTTTGTATTGCAAACATTTTGTGTAAAATAGATTTTTTCAAGAAATCTCTCATTACTTCACAAATGATGTTTTAATATTCTCTGATCCATACTGTCCTAGGGAGTAAGCTTAGGTGAATTCTACTTTGTATCTCTTAAGGGGCTTGTTTGTTAGTCTAGGAGTAAGGAATGGCGAAGTGGGCACCTTAGATTCCTTGCCCAGGAGGGGCCGTTCTGGGACACTGCAGACAAGTAGAGGCCCACTGGGCTGAGGGGAGTTCATGGTCTACACACCAGGGGAGGAAAATTCCTGCTTCCAGTAGAGCCAAGGCTGCCGCCGCCAGTGGGGTGCAGCACCCTGCTCATGGGCCGGGCTTGCGGAATGTCCTGCACCTGCTCCCCACACCCACCGCGGCAGCCGGCGGGGACTTGGCCAGGAGATGAGTGTAAGCATCTACTGGGGGCTGTAGAACATGGATGTCTGAGTGAACTTGACGTGGTCCGTGTTAAATAAGGAAAAACATCAGAAGGCAAAAAGGTAGTCGCAGGAGGTAGTTTGATATTAAATTGTTTCTGCTTCTTTGTGTTGACATAGATGAGAACTAGCAATTTAAATCTCTCACCCTTTGTTGTGTTGAGAGAACCAGAAAGAGGAATGCTGTGTCTGCTGAGAAGCTGTTGATGGGACTCAGTTGTCCATTTGTCCAAGCCACATCCACTGAAGCATTTCTCATAGACTGGCTTTCTGTTCTTTTATCTTAAAATGGAAACTTCAAGATAGATGATGTCACAGAGATCATATATTATAAGTCTTTCATTTGACAGGTGGGAAACTAAAGAAGGGAGAAGTTAATGACCTCACAGGCTTACCGAATGAGGTTTTGGCAGAGTTAGGCCTAGGAGTCCAGTTTTCAGGCTTCTGGTTTAGTTCTCCTTCCATTTTACTCTGGTACCTCTGCCAGAATATCACTTGTCCACAGGAAACCTTCCATGTTGTAGGGTTAGATAATAAGAAAAGTAGACCTAAGACTAGCTGGTAAGTCAAAGAACCAGTTACTGCATCAGTGCACGTCTGCATCCACAGACCTGAGGACAGGTGGGGTGATTTGCCCTCGCCTGGGTTGATCGATCTGGGGAAGATGAGTTCTTGCTGTCATAAAGCACTCATTCTTTTGTGGGGGGAGATATTTTCAAATATTGAAACGGATGACTTCTCGGAAGGGGAATCAGCCAGGGTAATTAGCATACGTAAATGGAGTGTAAGAAAGTCTATGAGCACTGTGCTCAGATTAGAGAGGTCGGGAAGATAATTGATTTGGAGTTTTAATTTCCAGTATGGAATGTTGTGGCCTGTACAAGCATTAGAATCAGATTCCCCTCATTACCTATGCTGTCTCTGTGATTGATCTGCAGTGGCAGGTAAAATTTGGAACACACACTCCCTTTCATTTGTTTGCACATGACAAAGTGCTGGCTTTGAGAAAAGGCCATCGTGCCCCGTTTACATCTGGTCAATCTCCTTCCTAGTTGCTGATGTGCGGCCTTGGCGATGTGGACGTGAACGACTGGAGACAGCATTCTATTTACAAGAACGGCTACTGCCCAAACCACCCTGTGATCCAGTGGTTCTGGAAGGTAAGGCCAGGATTCCAGCCCAGTCCCTGCTCCTACACCTGTGTCGGGCCTGAGGGCTCTGTGCTGCCCTTCCCGTGTCTTGCTTTAGGCCGGCTGCTGGAAATTGGGGCTCTGTTAGTACTTAGGCTGCTGGGAGAGAAAAGAGGCAGACTGAGCTAGAAGCAGCCCTTCCTGCTGTCTTTGTGTAACTCAAGTGGGCAGCTGTCCTTGACTAAGGTTGACCCTTATCCAAGCACACTGCCGTTCCTTGACCACCTGATTCAAGTGTCTTTTGTTGAGGAATCCATTGAGTGGGATGATTCTGAAAAGGAGGTAATTGGAATCAAGAGTTGGAACTAGTCCTCCAAACTGTTAGTAAGAATGGGAGGCTTGTTAGGGCGAAATCATGGTTTGGGGCTGACTTTTCCAAGATGCCATTTTTGGTTAAAAAATCATTTTCCAAATTTTTTTGTTAATTCCAATGAACATTTTCATCTTTATATCTGTCAGTCAACAATAGATGCAAATGAAATTTGATTTACTGTCTTAGAGCCAATGTTTATTTTCTGTTTAGCTCAGGAGAGAAAAGTGAAATAAGATCGAGTAGGTCCAAGGCAGAGACAGTAAACTGACTATAAAAGAACAATCACAGGGAAAAAAGCTGATTATTTACTTACAGAAATAAGAAATCCTGTAACTTGTTTTAATTTGTAAATGTCCGTTATTAATAATATTCCAAGTGCCAGCAGAAGTATAGAGAGAGAAAAAGAAAAAAGCAGAATCTTCAAATCCTAGTCCAAGTGTCGCCCAGCTTTGATTTTGGATAATTTTTTTTTATAGCAGTTCAAGTAACATTACCAGTAAAACCAACTCAGTTTTTGTAAGAATTCAGATGTGTAAGGTACACAGATTATTTTGGAGGCCTATCCTTGCTTCTGTTTTGCTTTCTTTTTATAAAATGTTATCTTTGGCGAACTTGGCTACAATCTGAACTCCCACCTCGTAACCTGGTCCCCGTGGCCCTGACACTTCTCCAACACTGTTTATTTATAGTGGGCTCGGGGGGCTGGCAAGCCTCGCACACAGAAATGTGAGCTTGGTGCCAACAAAGATTTGCTTTTTATATCATTTGTTTTGACCTATTGGCAGAAGAAAGAGATATTGTGATTTCTCGCTCTCTAAGATTAGAGAGGCTAATATTGGGGTAGCCATAAAACAAAGAAAAAGACTCAGTTTTCAGAGTCAACTGTCTAGGTCTTACATTGCAATATAAATAAGATTAATTTCTCTTGTCTGTGTTAGATTAATTTCTCCAGTCTGTGTTCCAGCAGCACGTGCTGCATGTCACGTGGGGATATACTGACCCTCTGCCTCTGTTCATAGGCAGTGCTGCTGATGGACGCTGAGAAGCGTATCCGGTTACTGCAATTTGTCACAGGGACGTCCCGAGTACCGATGAATGGATTTGCCGAACTTTATGGTGAGCAGGATGCCGTTAGATTCAATTCTCCTCCTGGGAGTTTCTAGCCAGGCATCAGCTGTGGCCTGAGAAGACTCTGCTTGCCAGGCCTCTGGACAAGTGCCCTGTGCAGAGCCCAGTAGAGTCCCAGTCCCTCATGTAGAGAAAGGCGACGTGCGGCTACCCGGGCTGTGTGTGGAGTCACCTTTGGGGTGGGGGGTTGTACAGGGAGCCATAAGGCTGGTCTTCCCTTTTTTCTGTTTTATTTTGTTTTTTGGTATATCTAAAAACTAGATTTTGCAGAATCACCCATGTGGTTATAAACTGAACATTTAAAGGACTGCTTACCTCCAGGAGGCAGAATTTTGCAGTGCCTACTGTAGAGTAAAAAAATCGCTCTGCTCTGGATATTAAAGGTCACGTTTCATCTTTTTTCCCCCAAAGGTAGTTTTAAGTTTCAACTTCCAGGGTTCAGCTGAAAGGGTGTAGCTGTCTGCACCTTCATACATTGTTGTGTGTTAAACTTGATGTGATTCCATTCAGAAGGTGATGTGGAGTCTGTGTTGTGAGGTTGTGCAGGCCTCTTGTTTCCCCCAATGTGAAATATTAAATATTATGTTGCAGCCAGAAAGTGTCTCAGAGCTCAGCCCAGGGCCTGCCCTGCCCACCTCCTTCCCTTTTCTTCAGTCACACCTTAGCTTTGTTCTCCTGCCCTGAGCACTCTGAGCAGTAATTTTTCTTTTTTTGTCTAGGTTCCAATGGTCCTCAGCTGTTTACAATAGAGCAATGGGGGAGTCCTGAGAAGCTGCCCAGAGCTCACACATGGTGAGTGACAAACACACACTGTCGTCAGCAAACAGTATTTTACGTACTTAGCTGCATATGATGCTGGGCTAGAGGCTGTAGAATGCTACATGACTGCCCATAGATAGCCTGGAGTACGAAATGTCAATGATGCCGATGAAAACATTATAACTTGTATAGTAATGCTGAGGAAACCTTAACCAAGATTTGAATGGACCCAGTGTGCTTGGCACATAAAGGGTTAAACCCTGCATGCTGTGGGGAATTCCTCCAGCAAACCCCATCCTTCCCTAACATTCTAGGAAGCAGAGACTTCACTGTATATTCACCATACGTGGATATGACAGCTCCCAAACTCTAAACAGACTGGGTTTTTACTCCAACCTTAAATTAGTTTTTTTAGAACTTGGGATAAAATTCCCTGTAGAAACATTGTTTTTAAAAGGTCTTCCATGGCCATCAATAACCCATAAGTCTCTGGAAATTAGTATCAATATGATTGGGACTGGAGGAGTGTAAGAGGTCTGATGAGGACCACTGCCCAGGGAGGCAGGTGTGGAGTGTGGCAGCCCTCGGAAGGCTTCCAGGATGCAGGGCGACAAGGAGGGGCTCCAGCTTCTCTGAAGAGTTTCGTAGGACCCAGCATGACGATGAACTTAGCAGCTCTCAGTGAGCTCCTGCTAATCCAAGCTCCCACGTCCCTCGGGTTGGTTTCCCCCACAGGGTTTTCTTTCTTGCTCTTAGGAAGCAAGAGGGAAATGATCCCTCTGGAAGATGGTAAGCCACACGGCCATCCTTCCTCACGCGCAGCGAGGGCTTCCAAAGCTCCCTTTGGCCATCCTGCACTGCCCAGTGCAACTGAGCATTCACTGCAGGAAACGTCTCCCTAACCTCAGAGCGCCAGCTAGGAGGGCATGCTCATAAAGTGAATTTGTGAGAAATGGGCTGTGAGAGATTTTTTGCTTCTGTTCGATTCCTTTGCCTCGCTGGAAAGAATGATTTTTCCCATTTGTTCCATTCGTATGACTCTGAATGGAATGAATACGGTCCTTGCCCCTCAGACCCTGGAAAGCAAGCTGACGCCAGCTAAAATTGGCAACTCTCCAGAGCGGTCACTGTCCGTGGTTCTCTGCCTTTGTTCTAGGGGAGAATGTTTTGGTAACTTGGAGCTTTTATTCTAAACACTATCAAAGTCAAATGTAGTTTCCTGGGTTATGATAGCCTTCATTTGAAAGCATGGAGCCGAGCCCCAGGACTACTGACTCATAGGCTGATGATGACAAATAGCAGTAAGAACTAAGTAATTGGGTCGACCGTCTTGTGTGGGTCAGCCCTTATCCTCCCCATGGCCTGTTAGGAAGCTTGCCCATGATCACTGAGTTCACAGATTCCCGAATCACAAGATTTGAACTCGGTTCTGCTGGGTTTAGAATCTGCCCCCTAACCACTACACTGGATCTGCCACCTCTGTTGATACTGGCCACTTTCTTTTCAGACTCTTCAAAGAGAACCAGGTAACTGAGTGTTCAGCCGTGTCCCTCTGGGACCCTTTGGACAGAAATCTTACTGTTGAACTTTTCTTCTATTATTGGAGTTCACATGCTTCAGCCACAAATAAAATATGAAGCTGCCCAGATAAGGCCTCTGAATTCACTGGTTTTCAACCTTGGCTGCACGTTGGAACCACCTAGAAAATTTTTTTAAAAAATACCGACACCAGGGTCCCGCCCCCAGAGAGTTGGACTTGGTTGGTCTGGTGTGTGGCCTGGGCCGTGGGATTTTTGGAGCCCCCGGGAGGTTCTGGCAGACAGCTTGGGTTTAAAATCACTGCTTTTCCCCAGGAAGGACAAAGGCCTAGCCACTGGAGCAAAGCCACGCAGCTGGCCCTTACCAAAGCCTGTTTTCTTCTCTGTGTGTCGTAGAAATAAAGCAACCAAAGGGTTTTCCTAGTGATGTTCTCCCAGACCAGCTGCCGGCAGCACTGGCCGAAGGGGCTGGGACTTGCTCTGTTTTCTCTGCTTTGTGGCTTTCCTCCGAACCGGCCGCAATTGTACTGTAATGTCGGAAATGGTAGCTTTGCTGGCTGCTTCTCAGCAACAGTTCCACGATCAGATTTAGCCATATGTATGTTCAATTTCTTCCATGTTTTATGAAAATATAAAATAGACAAGCTTCAAAATAAAAACCTGATTTACCAGGAGAGCGAGAGCTGGTAGATCCGGTTCTTTCTGAAGAGTATTTTTCATAAACCTCTCAGACGTAATTATTGAGTGTCTGATATTTAAAGGGCTTAATTTCATTGTTCTCTCAAAGGCCACTGCTTAGATATTGAAAATTACGCTTTGCTAAAAATCACAGACCCACCTGCTCCTTCAGGTAGACTCTAAAAATCTCCTTTGGCCCAGACATCTTCCACATGAGGACTCTGAAGCCCCCTGAGGATAGTGAGATCACACAGCTAGTTAGTGGCAGCCAGAGGCTGACCCCTGACCCCCGACCTCAGCCCTCAGGAGTAAAGGTAACTAACACTTATTAAGCACTTGGTGTGTTCCAGGCATCGCCCTAAGCAATTTATGTGTATTAATTCATATGATCCACACAACAATTCTAAGAGGTGGGTCATATTAAGGGAAAAAATGGTCCCAGATCCTCGAGCATGCATCTCCAGACCCCATGGGATTTGCAGGCCCTGGACTGTGAAATAAAGCCGCCTTCTCTGAAAGACTATTTTAAGCACAGTCTGCAGAAGTGGCGTTCCGTCTTTAAAACTGGTAAAATAATAATTGAGGTCATTATCAAAATGAAAACAAAAAATTGAAAAGTTCTTTTAGACTTCTTATTCTTTTCGGATTCCTGGGTTTCTGAGAACTCCAGTTTGAGAAGCACAGTGTTATTCTCTGCTGTGTCTTTTAATGTTTAGTGACTGTAAAAAAAGACCTGAGAGCTCAGTGTGTCTTATTAAATATTGTGGAGGTTGTTAAAGGGCCCACCATGGACATGTGTCTGTGTCTAACCACTGCTGATAATTGTTAGCTTTTAAACCATACGAAGTTGTTCTGCTTGTACTTGGAGTCGTAGGTCAAGACTGGTGGTGGGGAGCAGTTTTAAATGCCAAGGCGGTGCAAGCAGTGGTTAGAGCCGAGCTTTGGAGCTAGCCTAGGGCTGAATCCTGGCTCTACCCCTACTGTGTGACCTTGGGCAAGTTACCTAACCTCTCTGTGCCTCGACCGCCTCCTCTGTAAAGTAGGGGTGCAGCATTACCTACTGTACAGGTGATTGCTGGGATTCACTGAGGTAATCCAGGAAAAGTACTTCACAGTGCTGACTGGCCCCATGAATGTCTGCTCTTATTAAATCATCCTTGGCTGTGGCAGGTGTGGACGGCCACTTTCATGTCAGGTACACTCAGCAGTCCACCCCCCAGGCATTGATTCTGTGACAGGGGCTCACCTCCCTGCTCCCCCTGTGGGCACTCAGTGAACAGCGAGTGATGGTAACATAGTCACCGTCTTTGGGCACTTGCTGAGTCCAGGCACACACTACACATGTGCCCATTAGACCCTCCCGTACCCTGTGAGCAGTTTCCCCGTTTCACAGAAGAGCAGACAGATTCAGAGAGTGAGGTGACTTGCCCGAGGTCACACAGCTGGCAAGTGGCGGAGCCAGAATTGGAACTTGGTCTCAGAGACAAGTGGGCTGCATTGCTCCAGGGGCCGTCGTCGGTCTGAAGGCCTCACTGTCACCAGGGTGATGACACCGCAGCTGAAGTCTCCAGGTGTTTAGGGGCTTTGCACAAATGCAGCTTTTCCCTCCAAATGTCGATTACTTGCCTGACTTTGCTTAGAGGAGGGAGCTTGGCCTTGGGGTTCTGGAGCCACAGGCATCCTGGGGTCTAGTTGTGAGCGTGCCCTGCTACCGGGGTGAGAGCTCGGGGACGTTGTCCCTCTCTGTGCTCCAGGACCCACATCTGCTGGAGGGAGAAAACATTACCACCTCGCGGGCCTGTGGTGAAAACGAAATGGGTTATTACCTGGGAAAGCTCCAGCTCGGGGCCTGATGTAGAGTAAGTGAGAGCGTTAGACACGGACACAGCCTCAACTCATCTCTAACTCCTCGTCCTTAAGCTCTGTTTCCAGGCTTTGAAATCTTGGAGTGTGTGTCAGTGACTTGCCTTTCCTGTCTCCCTCGCCAGCAGCATTTTTCCAGGACCCGCCTCTGGCTGCAGTAGAGAGGTTTCATGGACTATTAGGAAATTCTTCTCTCCTCCATAGGTTGTACAGCCTGTTTGGTACGGACAGGTTCATCGCGGGAATTTATTGTTTGATGATCAGAATAGGTGGTTCAGGTTTTCACATCCTCTTGCTCAGACAGCAGATGCCCTCTTAGCCAGATCTAGGAAACGCTCTTGTAACTAAAGGGTAACGCTGGTGGCTCTTTACCCACGCTTTGTGTTACTTTTGCAGCTTTAATCGCCTTGACTTACCTCCATATGAAACCTTTGAAGATTTACGAGAGAAGCTTCTCATGGCCGTGGAAAATGCTCAAGGATTCGAGGGGGTGGACTAAGCGCCCCCGGCCTCGGGTGGTTGTCCGTCGAGCAAGTCCTGCTTGCACTTTTGCGTTTGCCTAACAGACTTTGCAGAGACGGTGGCAGAAGAGCAGTTGCACAGGGCGGCTCCTGGAACAGAGCCTTCCCCCGGGACTTGCCCAGGTTCAGACGTGGAACCCCGTCCCGGGTCGCGTTCCTGCATTTTCCACCGCAAATTATCAGCTGGTTGATGTGTATTACATTTCAGGAGGACTTATTCTATTTATGTTGTGCCTCTGTAGGCGAAGCCCTTAATAAATATTTTACATACTTTATAATGACAATGAATGGAATTAATCACTCTACAGGTATAGTATTACAACTCATGTTTACTTTTTAAAATGATTTAGACCGATTTTCAGATTTTATTTCATTACGATTAAAGATGTCTCATTGTACTTGGAAAAGCGAGCATATTTTTTTTTGTATTTGAATTTCATACCAAGTTTAATGTCAGTGACGTTTTTATTTTTGAAGTCCTTTGACACCCTACCCTCTGCTTTATTGGAATTGGAAGACCGAGTTTTGTCCAAAAACCTTCTGTAGGCGAGTACTTTGAGAGTATTTAAAATATAACATTAGGCATAATGATCGTTTTTTCCATACTCAGAGAGAATGAAAACAAACTGGATATTACATTTTTTGTACAAATTTAGCATAATAGCTGCAGGCTGAGAGAATTGTAACATAGCATGACAAATTTTGTGTTGACTTGAAGGAATCACACCATTATTCCTTAGAAGTAATTACATGTGCTAGAACACATTTGAGACAGGGTTGGATTATCATTTCTCATGGGAGAAATTACTTAACCCTTCCCGATACTGTACAGTCATTCTTTTATTATATTTTCCTCTTTGCTGTGCGTAGTAGAGACATTTGAATGAAACTTGGCACTGCTTGATTTGAAACTGTGGAAACCAGACCTGTTTAGTCTCCTATTCGTATGCGTTTGCTAATGGTAGCTAAATAACCAGTTTTTGTTCTAACTGCACCAATTCTGAAGGCACTTTATGTACTACATGGAGGTCATATCTGGTTTTGTTTATGTTTTGTTTTTTATCATAGACATTAAATGTGATGATTATTTCTTCTTCCTGCACACATCTTTCCGGTGCAATATCTATCAATTGTGAATCTGGCTGCTGGTGTATAAAATCTGGATGTAAAGCTGAGCCTACAGACCTGTCCTCACCAATTGTTCTGTGATTTCTACTCAACTACAAAGATTAATTTAATATACACTTAACCGGGTTTTGTTAGCTATGACGTGTTGCATGCTTCAATACTGTGTGCTGCCTGGGTTGTGTCTGTTGTGCGCTGGGTTACAGTGGGAGAGAAGACGAGGTGACCCACTGTGGTCAAGCTGTTAAGCTGGTAGTGGCGGGGGATTGAGGGTGTCTGTGCAGTTTGATTCTTTGCCACTTGTGAGTCTCCATTGCAGAGTTCTGTCGTGTTTTGAGAGAGCGCCTGAGGGAGCATGGGAGTTCACCCCGCTGTCCTTTGTAACCTGTTGTCCTATAGCCCGCTGTGGCAGTGAGGGCTGCTCGAGATCTGATCTCTTGCCAGTTGTAGATAAGACAAAAAATTGTGGTTTCAGGGCCTCTGTTAGGTCAGAAGGACTTTTTGGTGTAAGAAGTTCTTGTTGACCCAGCTCTGGGTGGCTTGTGAGAAGCCACCAATGTGTGTGGTTATAAATGAGTTGCCTAAAGTAGTGCAGCGGTCGGAGGTGTCAAAAAGAAGGTGAATTTCTGCGGAGCTGAGGATTAGCTCACTTTTCATATTTAAAAATATCCAGTAGTGATCAGAAAACTTTGGTGTTGAATAATTAGAAAAAACAATATTGTTCGTTATTTTTATCTATTGGTGGGATTTTTTTCCCTTCAGTCAATATGACAAATATTGACTCAATGGCAAAAAACCCCCTTCTTGTGGCCCCTCCTCGTCCAGAGTGGGCTTTCTTTATAGGGCTCGTGGCACAGCCTGAGTGAGTTGGGTTGGGTTCTGAGAGTGACCATGGAACTGTAGGGGGAGAAATCTAGTCAAAGAGCTGGGATTCTTCTGACATTTTGTGAACTGTATATTCAGAAAATCAGAGTATTCACTAAATGCAAATTAGGCAAAGTATTGAAAATATGAAAGAAAAACCGTTCCAAGATAATTTCTAAGCCAGGAACAGATAAGAGTTATCGAAATATACCCCTATGAATGCTTGAAAGGCAGTAATTGTGAATGACAGTTTATTTCATCTACCCCTTAATATCTGATTTCAGTGACAGCTAAATAGTGCTGGGTTTGGGGGTTTTGTTTTAATCCAAATAAGATTCCCTACTTCTCAACAATGCTTGGTATTTCACTCTTTGTCTAGAATAGTCATATATCTTGTTTTCTCTAAGTCCTAATGACCACTCTCCGTCGTCTTCATGACGTAATTGCGGATGGCAGTAAAGAAAATGCTCTGCATGAGAGCAGACTGCTGGGCCATTCCTTGGGCCTCCGCCCACTCCAGTCAGCAGGTCTGGAGGAGGAGGGCGGTGTCGCCTATTCTAGTTGTCCTTGGCAGCGATGCCACTCTGAAGTCCAGGGTCTCTGTAGCCTCTGTTTTCTTAGGAATTACCTGAATCCAGTTTCTTTAGTTCCCTGAAGAAAGTGTAGATACTGTGGGCCAGTTGGCCATGAGACTAAGAAGTTCCAGAGTTGACATATTGCATGTTGAAGGCCTTTTAACATCAGTTATCACACACGCCTGTAGGTCCCGGGTGTTTCTATCCCTGCCCCTTGTTGGCCTGAGGATGAATTTGGCGAGTCCGCCCAGGGGGATTAGCTTCAGGTGTTGCGCTGCGAATCTACCTGCTGTCCCTGGAGCAGGAAACAGGGAGGCGTTTGTCTGTTTTAAAGTTGTATTCAGCTTCGATGCTCGAATCTTTTTTCCTTTGAAACGTTTTCCATTATTTACTTTTCTGTAGCCAGTCCTCTACCAAATCACAAGAATGTAAGATGCTTCTTTGATTTTGTTCCCAAGGCCCTTTGGTAGCTGACATCAAATGTTCCCTAAGGTCAGATGACCAATGTTATAAAGCAACCAGACACAGATGAGTGCTCCCACAGAAGGATGCAGTGCAGAATAGAAACGGTTTGCAAAATATTTGAGCCCAGTTTCTACATCTCACATTGTTAAATAGACAACATGTACTATTGCTGTTTGATCTTGTCAGATCCACATTGGCTCTCTTGAAAGCCAAGTTCATATGCAGCAAGTTACTCATTGTTCTAACAGTTGCTAAATGTTTAACACTTGACTCTAGTATTTTCCTAAGTTTTGTATCTCACCTCTGAAATTTTAAAACCTTGAAAGAGAGCCTGGGTTAGTCCGTTCTCGAGCCCCTCCCCACTGTGCTGTCTGCTTTCTTTGCCTCTTTCCTCCTCGCTCTAACTCTGTACTGACGGAGCGGAGGGGACAGGCTGTCTGGTATCATTTTCTGCCTTGCCAGTAGGGGGTGCTGCTGTGCAGGGTAACTGCCTGGCTTGCTCCCTTCATGACCCCCAGGAGATCATGCACTACCTCTGTCTCATTCAGGCTTTGGGGTACATCCTGATAAGTCATGTCAAAACTGCCAATTTCAGGTTTGAGATGTGTTTTAAAAAATCCTTATAAACTCCACTTTGTACTTTAGATTTTAAAACTGGGAAGAAAATGTGATATACTTTGGACCACTTTTTTTGATTTATCTAAGCCTTAACGAACCGTGTATATACACTTGCATACGCACACACCCCCCTCCCCGGAGTGTTTTCGGTGTGTCAGAGACAGTGCTGTAGCATTAGGGACATGAGCTCTTGTAATGTTTTATAGAAAAGGATAGCTTTCTGTTTGTATGAAGTTTTCCAAGAAAACCTCTCATTAAACATCTGTCCTTCGTTAAAGATGTTACGCGCAAAGCAACGCATGTGTAAAATGCATGTCTTTTTGTTGGTTGGTTTTATGTTTGTAAGGAGTAACAGGAATCTAACAACATTGGCTACAGACCTCTGTGTACTGCATTCTCCACCACGTACCAGTGCATCAAAAGCCGTTCTCATGACCATGACCCTATGTCTACAGACATCGTGTTCCTCTATAAGCCAGTTTGCCCCTCTTACTCTGATTTCACCTAGATTGTCACAGTTTCCTTCATGTTAATTTTGCGTGACCTTGTTCTTCCTTTATTACTATGGATGTAATGTATATACATATATACGTACCTATGCTGTCCAAATATATATATGTATATATTTGTGTAGCATTTTTACACCTTTCTTGCATAATCTGGTTTTGAAAGGGAGTGAGAGCTTCATGCCTTCTACAGTTTTCTCCAAGCTGTATCCTGAGGATTCTGACCCTTGGAGCCTGAGAGAACCCCAGGAAGATGATGTTAATTTGCTGTCATTTCTTAATTCAGGATCTGTTATCAAACGAAACATGAAAAAAAAACAGTGACTTTTAAGGTGAAACGAGTTTCAAGCATTCCAAATGAATTCTCAATGTTTCTTAACTTTTTATTATAAACCCACCTCCTAATATAAAGCCAAATACTATTTGATACAGTGATTAAAAACCAAACTTTGAAATTTTTTAAAAACAACTTATGGATAATGCTCATTTTCACAATCAGAATAGCTTTAAAATATGGTTGAAGTTGATACACACAGGAAAAGTTTTGTTTAAGAACAAATCCTTTTTGCTTTTCCTTTTTCTTGAGAGATCTAAAAAGAAATGGTAGATTGTTTTCCTGACAGCAGAGAGTCATGTGACAAAATGAAGTCATTGTAAAGAAGTGATGCAACTTGTCAAATATTTAATAAAGAATTATAGAAGCTGCAACGTTTTCTACATCAAGTATTATGGGTTGTCTGATTTAAAGCTTCGTGAATGGATCATAATTGGTTCAGGGGTTTAAATGCCTGCAGGTTTATAGTATGTTCATTTCCTTAATCTTCACACATTTAAAAACATCAGTCTGCCCAAAACACGTGGCTTAAGCTTAATGGGATGCACACCTGTTCTTATCCATCTGTCTTTTTATTAGAGTTGAGCATTAATGACTTTATGTAACACTTGTATGAGCCATAAGAGTCCATGCCTGAAAAAAGCATATTTCACCTCTAGTTTTTTTCCGACCGAACCTCAATTTGTGTGAGTTAATGAGACTCAGTCATGAAGCCCAAGGTTGTTCTCAGAAGGAAAATGCTATCAAAATCCAGGTCTCCTGTCAATTGCCCTTTAAAACTCACAGATGCTTCAATTTTTTTTTAGTACTAAGCTGCCTCTTGATAGCCTTAACCTGTCCCCTCAGGGACTGCCAGGAGGTGACATCCAAGCAGGACATAATTTAGTCCTTCGTTTCTTGTGACTTGTGTTTTTCAGTTAGCGGTAGATGGTATCTTGTATAAAGGTGTCGACAGCGTTCTGAGCCAATGGTGGAATAAATAAAATAGAGAAACAAATTATCATACACCAGTTACATGGTGGCTATGTTAATAAGCTCTTAATCTGCTCTGAAGTCCAGAAGTGATCTAGGCACTTCTGAAATTTTAAAGCCCCTAGTAAAGTGTTGGTGTGAGCTTGGATGTCCAGGAGTTGTGATTCCCCTGGTTGGCTCTGAGGAACCGCATTCAAAGGCGTCCCTGGAAGTAGGAGTGCCAAAGCCACTTTCTGATCCCTTTGGATCACCTAGGAGAGAACATTCCTCAAAACAGTGAGTTTCCAGAGAACTCAGGCTGTGGAATCTCTAAGCCAGTATTTATAGGACTTGAATTGGACAGGAAAACAAATTGATGGTGAGTTTACTTAAGACCCAATACAGACTCCTTCATAAGTAGATTGGGACCCTGTCATGACTTTGGGAACCCCACTGGTGGGGACTGAGGAGGGTGAGAATGGAGATTCCCTTTGTAGGGCTGACTCAGGCTAGACTGGGAAAAGGGTAAATTAGCCCAATAGCCTGTCCCTTCCTGCCCAGCCCCTTTACAATGTCCCACCCCCTCTCCCACCCAGTGTCCCATGCTGCCAATGTGCCTCCTTCCCATTCCCCTACAATTCTCAAGTTGGTCCTGGCCACTTCCCACCTGGGCTGCAAGTCACAGGTGACGGAGGATAAACTGTTGATAGGGTGGAGAGTGTCTCCCCTCTGTCTCCCGGCAGAATGGCATCTCACCTCAGCTGGGGCCTTCTGGAGACAAGGTCCCTCAGCACCCAGTGCTTCAGGGAGAAGGTCAGAGACTGCCCTGTGTCTCACCCTAGTCCAGGCCCACTCGCTCGCAGAGCCCCAGAGGGGATGTGGCTCCTCTGTGTGCACCTACTGGACTTTATCTTGAAGTTTGAGCTGGCTGTTCTAACTTAATCCCATTCTCAGCCAGGTGTCCGGCAAACGTGCCATTTCAGGTGTGCCCTTCTAATGCTTCGATGGGGCGCCCATCATTTGCTGTTCTGCAGCTTTGATGCATTGCTTCCTGTTGGAACAGGGTACAGAGCAGCAAAGAGGGACTTGGGGCCGGGATGGCAGGAGGGGAGGGCACAGGCTTTCTCCCAGAGCGTTTCTGCTCGCCTTACCACACCCTGATGTTTGAGGAGAGCCCTTTTTCTTCTCCCTGAGAGAAGTTAACTTGCAGACAAGTCAGCTTGGCTTGGGGCTCGGGGACTGCAGCACACACACCACCAAAATGAGCGCTCAGCACTGAGGGTGACTGGGAGTGATGTGGGAGAGGCACATCCTGCTGGGATTAAAGGGAAGTTCTACATTTGGGCAATTTCTCAGCAATACCCTGCCATGGGAGTTTTACGTACAGTTCCCAGAATTCGGAAGTTAACAGTTTTCAGTCCTACCTGGCCTTGTCCAGATTAAAGGAGGAGACAAGCTAGAGATAGAAGATTCCGTGCTGCTACATACCTGGGCTCATCCAGCTTTTATCACACAATAGCCGAATGTTTGACCTGGAAGGGCCTCAGCCCTGTGAGTCCCCGGTTCTTGCCCTGATCGCTCCGTATGTGCCCAGTGCTGTTGGGCAGGAGGACCAGGATTTGTCCTCACTTGTTACCCTCAGGGACTGCCAGGGCAACCCTCCCCTCCCCTACAGAGACCCGGAATGGCGACCACTGTGGGGGCCTCTCATTCCTGGGAACCTGAGGCCCACAGGGAGGGGCGATCAGCTTCTCACTCTGCCCCTGTGGGACTGTCCCCTCTGGTCAGTGGCTTGTCTGCAGCAGAGGGGATGCTGGTCACTGAGCCCAGGCGAGAAATGAGGGCAGGACGGGCACTAATGGCCCAACTGGGGACAGACAGCCTCCCTCAGCCTCCATGCTACCCCTGGCAGAGCCAGGCCCAGGAACAGGGTCAGGGTCCTTCAGCTTCCCACTTGAGGGAAAAAACTGAATTTCCAAGGGACTCCTGCAAACACCTCAGGCTGGTCTCGTTCCCTGAACCAGCACAGGAAAGGAGCAGCCCCGGCCCTCAGCCTCAGGGTAGGCAGCAGGCGGGCTCTCTGCCTCTGGAAGATAGGGCAGAGACTCGACACCAGGACAATTTAAGGAGCTTAAATCAACCACTTGTAACACACCATCCCAGCTGGGAATAAATCTTGGCAAACATCTGCAGGACATTTTGTCTCTTCTCTGTAGGGGCCTGAGCCCACTGCTCCCTCTGGGTTTCCCCTTGTCTCCCTCAAAATTCAAGAGAAGGCCTGGAGCCACAGTAAGGGCCCAAAAACGCTGGCAGGAAGAAGCTGCTCATGGGAATGGGGGCTCCCCCACCCCAGGACAGCCTGCAATCTTCAGTGGTCAGTCCTCTGAACAGGAAACTGTGGGACATGGAGATGTAGGAGCTGGTTCCGGAGCAGGGACCAGCCTGCGTGTCCATGGATCGTGGGCTGGAGAATCCACCCAGCCAATTCAGATGGGCACACATGTGGCCCCAACCTTGTACCCTGTCTCCTCCCCCTGCCCTGGCCCAACGCGTCCTCTTCCTGTTTCTCTCTACTGGCAACTCCCCTAGGGACACCACGGCTTTGGACAAAAGTCTATAATATGAATCATCTAGCATTAGCTCTGGATAAGTAAAGAGAAGCTTTTAGAACAGACAAAAATCTCTTGCCTCTCGACGAAGCCTGGCATTCAATGCCATTTTCCTCAGGGCTGAGGACTGCCAGCTTCAAGTCTCAAAGCACAATTTTTTTCCTCCAACATTTGATTATGAAAATTTCCAAACATTCAGAAAAGTTGAAAGAATTAAACAGTGAACACCTCAGACCCACCACCGGCCTTATCACACATCCATCCCTCTATCCATCCTTTAATCCATCTTAAATTAATTCTTGAAGCATCACAAAGTAAATTGCAGGCATCATATACTTCCCCCCACCCAATACTTCAGCATGCTTATCATTAACTAGATTTTATTATTTATTTAGATTTTTTTCTTCTGAGGTAAAATTCACATAGAAAGAAATACACAAATCTTAAGTATACATACATACACTGAGGTTTGACGAATGCAGGCACCTGTGTAACCCAAATTCCTATTGCCCCAGAAAGTTCTTTCATGTCTCCTGGTCAGTCCGCACCCCTGTGCCCCCCAGCAACTGTCCTGAATTTTTTCCACCATAGATTAGTTTTGTTTGTTCTGGAATTTCATATAAATGGAACCATACAATTTATAACAATGACTTTGTAAATTCTAGCTGGTAGCTACCCTACCCTGAAGCATTAAAACCCATTAAGTCAGTGGGCAGGAAGCCACAGGACATCATGAATGAAAAAGACATCAATTTAATATCCAGAGTATCCTCATTTCACATGTGACATGAACATCTCCGAGTCCCAAATAGACACAATCACCTTGTAGGATGTTTAAGCCTGTTGTTGACATACAATGATGGCCTTGAACTTCTAGCTTGAAATCCAGGCACCGTTTTGCTCCAGTGGGTCACCAGTTGCCTCACGCCTGAGGAGAGGATGATCTGGAATGTTCTCCAGTTCCCTGGCCCCCAGCCATCTCTTCCTGCCTCATGCCTCTTCTTTGTGAATTCATCCTGAGGAAGGAAGGAGGCAAGAGTGTATTAGTCAGGGCAGGTTAATGCTGTCACAAGCAACCCCTAGGCAGTGGCTAATATTGTAAAGGTTTATTTCTCACAGTCCCGTGTAGGTTAGAGGCGTGCTCTGCTCCAGAAGTCATTCGGGAACGCGGGCCCCCTCCCGCACGGGCTCCACCAGCCCTTGGGACAGACTCCTCCACAGCCCACAGGCAGAGGCGGGAAGAGAGCCTGTGGAAGACCCTGCAGGAGGGCCAGGTCTGGAGGGGGTAAACATCCCCATCCCATCTGTCCACCTTCCCCTGGCCACACATCAGTCGATGGCCATACCTACCTTCAAAGGAGGCTGGGAAATATCTAATGGCGCCCAGAGGAAAAAGGAAGGAGTTTGGGAACAAGCAGCCAAACTTGGCCATAGTTTATCTCTGGCCTTCAGCATCCCTTTGCAGAGTGAATTTCCCCTTGGGATAGTGGTCTTGTTGCCGTTTGCCAAGCTTCTGGAGTCTTCAGTCTTCTCTCTGAGGATAATACTACTATTACTTATCATAAATCTCCACATCAGCCTAACAAGGTAGCTATTATTAGCCCCAATTTACACACGAGGAAATGGACTGGGGGTTAAGAGACTTGCGTAGTGGTGATCTGAACCCAGGTTGTCTGGCTCAAAGCCACCATTCAGCCTGCCACTCTCCTGCCCATCCACCATCCCCTCCACCAGACCTCCTCCCAGAGGGAAGAGCCAATACGCTTGTTTACCCTAAGATGTAAACGACTGATGAGACTAAACACATG